CCCCATTTTTCAGTTGCTACAGACACTCATAGTCACAGTAACGGGACCTTTTCTTGAGCTGAGAAAGTTGTCTGCATACCTAACGGTCTCTCTCATAAACATTTGTGTGATAATTAGTTTAAAAAATACCATAGGGTACTCATCTGGGTACTTATGCCCCGAGGCATATTTGTAGGTCCTATATTTTCTACAAATTCATAGGTGTCATCTCTATCCAGTTCAGGAACCCTAATGCTAAACCCAAGGGTTCACAACATTATCATTAACATCATTATTTTGATTGTCTTCATTACTTTCCTGGTTGTTTTTATTAGTGGCAGACTCACTGCTAGAATATCAAAATCACTAAGGATAGTTTGTTCAGTGTCACTGTCAGACATTTTGAAATTTTAGGATATTACTTGCAACGCACAAAAAATCTTAAGCACAATAAAAGCTAATAAACTATCAAAGTAGGCTCCATTAGAATATTAATATAGTTCAGGGATGTGAACAAATGTGCGATTGGGAGCCTGGAAGGGGGGGTGCACAAATTGAGATTCTTTTAAATTACATTACTTGTATGCATGTTTTGTCAAATTTTCAGCCAAAATATTATTTTGTTCTTCCAATGTTCTTCAAAATATTTCTCTTTGAAATAATTTATTAGCAATAAAAGCCTGTGTTAAATGAGTTTTGTTCAATTGTGTTGCCTTGAAGGTTCATCTGTCTCTCATGCAAAGATTGTTACTGCTACTGGTAATAAACTGGTAAGTTCAACATTTTAGACTCTGCCACAATTATACTGTGACCTGACAGTGAACCCCCCACCTTAAAAGGTCGACTTACATACAAACATAATGATTTTTATATAAAAGGAATAATTCAATACAAAGTTTCTAGGCCAAGAAATTTAAGTTGAATTTAAATGAAGAAAAGCTGATCAAATAATGTATTCATTCATTTGTGTGTGGCAATGCGATGCTGAAACGACTTTGCTTTTGTCATCATGCTGAACATTTAGCATCAGCTTTTATTTGGCAAATGTTGCTCATTAATATTGTAACCAGTGCAAAACTTTCCACAAATGAAGACTTGTGAGAATTCCAACACTGAATTGCTAATATTGAAGCCTGTTTCAGGTTTACCTCAAATTAAACGATATGACATAGAAAGTCGACCACCTTTTGTTAATATTATTTTTACAATAACAAATGACTCTGAGATTTCAATAAAACAGTGACTCATAACTAAACAACTACCACTACACACGACTACCACTAAACACAACTCTGACTGCCACTAAACACAACTCTGACTGCCACTAAACACAACTCTGACTGCCACTAAACACAACTCTGACTGCCACTAAACACAACTCTGACTGCCACCAAACACAACTCTGACTGCCACTAAACACAACTCTGACTGTCACTAAACACAACTCTGACTGTCACTAAACACAACTCTGACTGCCACCAAACACAACTATGACTACCACTAAACACAACTGCCATTAAACACAACTCTAACTGCCACTAAACACAACTCGGACTGCCACTAAACACAACTCTGACTGCCACTTAACACAACTCGGACTGCCACTAAACACGACTTCCATTAAACACAACTCTGACTGCCACTAAAAATTCACCTTCAACCAAAGCCTGAGATCAACTCACAAAATGATGACAGGCACTGCATGCTCACAGACAAGATCAAACTCACACAATCACCAAACTCACCCATGCAAAACGCTTGGCTTCTAGGAACGATGAATATAGACATTTAATTCAAATGAGCTGCATACAAGAAATATCGTCTTTGTTGGTTAATTTATGCGATAAAGGCCTTTTTTTGAATTTAAGAAATGTTTTCTTATAAATTTTTGTCCAAAAAATATAATTGCGTTATCTGTTGTTTTTTCATTAAATGTGTTAAAAAGCACAAAACATTTATTTTACTAATTAGTATAAAGATGCATGTTACTATTGCTGAGGATTTTAATCAGAGACTTTTTAACAAAAATATTTAAACTACAGACATTTGATAGTCGTATTTTGGCCTATTTAAAGCACTGATAAAACTCATTCACTGTTAATATCGTCAGGTGCATAACGCTTCTGATAAGCAGACATTATTCATTTCACCAACACACTCAAGATTAACCTGTGGTAAGCATTCTTGTTAAATAATTTCCCTTTTTCTTTTTTTAAATAAGATAATTTGCAGGCTTAAGTCAACTTTCAATCGGGTAATGATATTGTGTTCAAGTCAAAAGCAAAAAGTCTCCATACACTTAGAAAAAATTGATATTTCTTTGAACAAACACATTAAGTTGGTAGTGTGACACACTGTTCTGTAAGTGTTGATTGCGAGTATTGTTTCTGAGAATGCATCTAGTCATTTAACATGCCCTATTATTGTGTATAGCTAGACTTGAAGATTAGTTATTGATATTTATTAGGAAGGCATTTTAGAGAGTTTCTTTGGCAAACTGTTCATTTTATAGCATCGTCCCATATACGACATTGCATTTGATTAGTAAGTTCAATGTTTTAAAATACATTATCAGATTATTTTGAGGGCGTCTAGGGCACTAAGCCAGTCTAGATAACTAACTACAGCGATGACTGTCTAGGGCAATGGACGACTCGATGGTCCTCGTCGATCTTCGACGGACGAACAATAACAATAATAGGGCACTAAGCCAGTCGAGATAACTAACTACAGTGATAACTGAAAAGCATACTGTTACATTTGGTAAAGACCTTTTGTTGCCTTTATAATTTAGTTGAGATAATCATGTTATTATGCTTTGCTGTTGTCATTGTCAGGCAGTTTAAGCATGCTTTATTTTAGAATACCCTTTCAAATTCTTATTTTAAAATTGTTGATATTATGCATAAAGAGATTCAGACTTGGAAAATGGAGATTTAGACTGAAAATGGGAGATCCGGGATGGTATTATTGTACTTTTATTTAATGTTTGTCGCCCCCCCCCCCCCCAAAAAAAAAAAAAAAAAAAAAGCATTGCCATAGTTTATTACTGATTGAGTTTGACTAATATTAATTCTGGCTGATGATTATACACACCCCTGTTCTACCATAATAATTTACTAAATGGTTTCATTAGATGCCTCTTTCATATCTCCTACAGAGCTACAAATATGGCAGTGTCTGACCAGCTGGCACGGGCTGTAGTGCAGGGAATACAAGCACAGATGCAGCAATGCCCCTACCATGATTGCATCGTCGTAGCTGGTGGTGTTGATTTCAAGTGTCATCGGTTCCTTTTAAGTGCATGCTCAGAATTCTTCCGTGCAACATTCGGATCAGGAATGAAAGAGGACATTGAAAATCGTGTAGTTCTGAACGACATCACGGCTGAGACATTCAACCTTGTTCTAGACAGTGTTTACAACGCCAGGAGTGTCCTTAATGCTGACAATATAGCAGACGTCTGGCATGCTGCTAACCAGCTCCAAATTGGATTCCTTCTGGAGGCTTGTGAACTTTTCCAGTCCAAACGGCTTTCTAAAGACAGCTGTGTGGAGATCTACATCGATGCCAAGTTGCTCAGCTCCAAGAAATTGGTGGAACTCTGCTGGGATGTTATCATTAAGGAATTTGATTACCTGAGGAAGTTGGAGGACCTGCTGTTCCTTGACTTTGAAGACATGAAACGTCTGGTCAGCAGTGAAGATCTATCTGTGTCTTCAGAAGATATTGTCCTCCAGATAGTACTGAGGTGGGTCAGCTTCAATCCCCATGATGAACCAATTGATGAGGGTCCAGAAATAAAAATTTTAGACACTAGCAGTGACGACTCAAAAGCACCAAGGAATGACAAGAAAAAAGAAAAATCAAAAATTACAGAAAGAGCAAGTCATAAACAGATGGCAAATAAATCAGAGGATGTTAAAACTGATTTGAAAAATCTTTCAATCACCCAGAGTAACATGCAAGATACCAAGTGCAAGAAAATCTTTACTGTTGCAGAACGAAAATGCTTTCTCCCTGAGCTGTTGGCTGCATCCAAGATTTTTCTCGTTAGTGGCACATGCTTGCAAACACTGATTGAAAACAAGATTGTCCTGGAAAATCCAGCGGCTTTTTCTCTTGTACGGGAAAGTCTCCGTTACCAGCTTCAGCCAGGCAGACGTCATGATTACTGCCCCCCTTATGCCAGACACAGAAGCAAAAGTTTACTACAGAATGTCACAATGGCAATTACCAGAAAAAACCAACTCAATCTCTCTTGTCGTACTGTGGATGGAACTTGGTATGTTTTGCCAACACCTCCGCAGTATATTGGAAAAGCAGTTACTTTTGAAAATGATATTTATTGGACGGATTCATCTGGAACTTATCAATCAGCAATTAAATATAAATCCAATGTTAATGCATGGGTTACTATAGCTCAGCTGAATACTCTCAGAAAGAATCATGCTTTGGTTTGCTTGGATAGTTACATATACGCTGTAGGGGGTGACAACTGCACATCCATTGAGAGATTTAACGCAAGAGATGATCAAGTCCAGGGTTCAAGCAAGTGGGAATTAGTTGGTGACTTGAAACTAGCCGTGACCAACATCATGGCAACCTCTTGTGGCGGCAGCATAGTGGTCTTTGGTGGCGAGACAGATGGAAGTCCGTCAACGACTGTCCAAAGTTTCAATACCCAAACCATGTCCGCCAGCTTCTACCTCGACAACATGTCAGGTAGTCCTAGGAATATGGTCAGTTTCAAGCACGGTGATATCACGTACATACTGCAAGAAACTGGAGCTTTGTGGAAGCTGGTCAGTTGCGACAACACAATCTTAAACATAGAGTTCCGGAACATGTTATGGGCAGATCCATTCAAACTGATGGGAGGCATAATTTTTAATGAAGAGTTGCTGATCCTGGGAGACGGGATTGATCCGCTGATGCACAGAGAATGGGACACAACTCACTTTGAGCATTTTAAGAGGATTAAAGTAATTGAACGCCAAGGATATTGCCTACTCAACACAATCATTGACAAGAAATTTTTGGTGACCCCAGAAACTTAACACTTAAAATTCAAGAAAATGACAGGTTATCAAACAAAACAGTAATATAATTAATTTTTTTGGTGTTACAATCACAAGTTCATGTTTGATTGAAAATGATTTCATATTTTCTCTGCCAGCCCGCTATTTTAAATTAAGATCAATTATATAAAGCTCATTATGACTTTTTTGTGTGAATGAGTCAATTAATTAATTACAACAACACCCCCACCCCCAACCCCCCAAAAATATAAATAATAATAATAATAATATTTTTTTTTAAATGGATCGTAACCAAATTTGACGGTTACCGGCAATTTGATCGAAAGAAATTTCGTCGACGCAAATTGATCGACGGTAATTTGATCGAATTAAAATTTGTTAGAATCATTTTTTTTTTCAGTTCACATGTTAAAATTTTCGTCAAAATTCTTTTTGAACTCAATATACTATATTGTAAAACAAAATGCTGCATTCAAAAAGAAATTTGAAACAAAATTTTAACGTAATAACTGAAAAAAGATTCGACCAAATTTCCGTTCGATCAAATTATCGTCGATCAATTTACCGTCGACGAAATTTCTTTCGTTCAAATTTCCGGATACGAAATTTGACATGGTCATTTCTCCTCACCTATAGATGGTTCCTGAAAAGTTTGGTCCGAACTAAAAGCTTCAATTTGAAAAATCTTCAATTGTAGAGGATAAAGAGTAACAAAAGAAATGCTATTTACATACTGAATGGCGTCAAGTTCAAGGGACGTTCCAGTTAAATTATTTTTGGTGTATTCATTTTCAATAAGCCTCTTTCATAACAGCTTGCTTTAAGATTCAAACCTCTTTTACAATTATTAAAGGAAGGTGCACTTTTGTTTGGATCACGAATTTTCAATAAGCTTTACTCTATGTTTGAAGAGCGGTGTGTGTTTAACAAATATTTGAAATCATTTTTCAACAAAAGATCAGCCGTTTGTTACCATTATTTTCTTTAAATATATCGAAGTATGTGTTGTACCATTTTAAGAAATCCACAGTTCATTGCGTGGTAGGCCTGCATATAATAAGATTAATGAGACATTAACAATTTGTTTAAATAAAACAATAGATTTACACTTCAATAATGATAAGACAAACATAATTGCGTGGGATAAGGGGAGTTAATCATTAGAATTATCACCTAGTAGAGTACATGAAGGGTGCTTTGGCGCACCTAAATTTACTGTCCTGGGGAGTCTGTTATTAATTTTATCACCAACTTTATATAGTAGATGTGTGTGGGGAAGGGAGATTTGGCCCCAAATCATCATTGAGTAAAACTACGTCACTGAATGTGTAGGTGCATGTTATGAGTAGGGCCTATAGCACTCTCGGAGGCACAATTTATTACAATTTCAGTCCATCGTTGATTTAGCCTGCCTTTTTTGTAAAATTATGTACAGTGTACATATACATTTAAATTTATTATTAGTTTCTTAAATGCCCACCTAATAAATTTCTGTCTAGATTTTTTTACTGACATCAGCTAATGTCACGGTAATGTTTCAGTTAAAGACGGTGCAAGTCAATAACAATGAAAAAACCATTTAACATTATAACGGTATTCAAGAATAATTAGTTGTAGGCGTAATAGTTAAAAGGCAACATCTTTGCAAGTTCCTTCCTCTTCAAATGAGATACATTTGAACAGTTAACTTGAATATTTATCTGAATGATTTTTAATAGTGGCCCTATCTTAGGGGTAACTAAAATGGCCCTTTTTGGAATGGGTTCCTGCTGGGGATCCTATTTGATTTTAGGTGATAAACAGCCAGAGCTTTGGCATTAGCGAATACCTTTCTTAATAAGACATCTTTTAAAATTTGTATTGTCTTTTTGGCTGTGCCCAGCCTGAATAACCGAGAGGGTTGGGCCCCAAATTCAATGTTTACAAGAGTTATTATAACTCAGGCGTTTGATTGGAGAAAGTTTTCATTTTAGTTTGTCATATAGCGAAGTGTCTTGGAAAGGGTCCTAAAGTTTTTTCTGAATACAAACCCAAGAACAGCTGGGTATATGGACTAGTAAAATATATAGAAATGAAACTTTAGGAATATTCAAAATTAGGATGGAAAGTAAAATAGACATTGTGGAAAAACTCAGTCTTACAGATATTACACAAATGTGAGCACTTTGAAGAATTCATTTAACATTTTTATTTATACAATACACAATAAATTCACAAAAATAAAATTATGTAATTGAATATTTTAATATTTTGATAATCAACAACAAAAAATTATTTAAAAAATAATTAGAAATCATAATTTATTTGCATGGTTTTATATACTTCTGGAATTAGTTTTTACTATTTCCAGTTAATTCCCATACATGATATTATTTTATGAAAGGCACGAATAAAAGAGATGGTTAAATAAATAAAAAATTCCATTAAATTTAAATAAATATAGAGGGAATAAAAACTTTGTACATTAAAGGATGTGTGAGTCACTATGACCTTGGCTGTTTTAGGGATAGGTCTAGCGTGTGTCACTATGACCTTGGCTGTTTTAGGGATAGGTCTAGCGTGTGTCACTATGACCTTGGCTGTTTTAGGGATAGGTCTAGCGTGCGTCACTATGACCTTGGCTGTTTTAGGGATAGGTCTAGCGTGCGTCACTATGACCTTGGCTGTTTTAGGGATAGGTCTAGCGTGCGTCACTATGACCTTGGCTGTTTTAGGGATAGGTCTAGCGTGCATCACTATGACCTTGGCTGTTTTAGGGATAGGTCTAGTGTGCGTCACTATGACCTTGGCTGTTTTAGGGATAGGTCTAGCTTAGTAATTTGAAGTAGAAACATGGCCAAGAGATAAGGTAACAATGCTGGTGAATAGAGTGCCCCCATAACAGACACATTTAGATGCACCCAGTAGTCTATATGAATGTCACAAGCCTGTGTGCTAAAATGAATAGCTGTACAAATTTCAATATAAAAAAATAATCTATGCTTGGCTTATGGCAGTTATGTTAGAGATGGAGTTACAATTTACATTCTTAGTATCTTTCTAATTTGTCTGATCCCCTGTACTGTACACAATACATACCAATGATATTCAGAGCTCAAGTGACACCGTTCAAATCTTAAAATTTGCAAATGATACCACAATCGTTGGCTTAATATCTGAGGGAGAGGGCTTATACCGCAATTTAGTTACAAGCTTTATCAATTGGTGCCATGAAAATTTTCTACACCTGAATGTCTCAAAAACAAAAGAAATGGTTGTTGATTTCAGAAGGGGGAAACACCAGATTACAGATCTCAACATAAAAAATCAAAATGTGGAGAAAGTGTCGGCATACAAGTACTTAGGTGTCACCATTAATAATAAGCTAACATGGCATGAGCGCGGCAAAATGTTGTATAAGAAATTCCAACAAAGACTATTCTAACTAAAAAAGCTGTACAATTTCAGCGTAAGTCGTTAACTTATTCTACAGTGCAACAATTGGAAGCCTACTTAATTTCAATATTACCTGCTGGTGTGGGAATTCATCGTCTGATATTAAACACCGAATAAACAAACTAATCAAGAAAGCTAGGAACATAACACAAACTAAACATCCTTTGAACTATTTGAAGAAAGATATTATATAACTAAACACATTTTGGCTAATACATCCCACCCTCTTTATCACAGATACTTAGGATCGGCCCGCTCGGGACGAATTCTTTCTCTCAGGGTGAGGACTGAAAGATATAAAAATTCTTTTGTTCCCCAATCCGTACAAATTTACCACTGTGCTGCCCCTGAATTCACAAAACTTAATGAGAACTAAAAATTCCCTGATATGGCTAAGAATGGCTGTTTTTTCCCCAAGTGAAATAATTGCAGATGTCTTGAGTTCAAATTGTTTTATTTATTTGCTGAAAATGTACAGTGCAATCAAAAAACATTTCCATTTCATTGGATCAGTAAAAGAATCTTATCTAATCTTATCTTTGTGTCTGTTATACACAATTTTGAAAGCAGAAAATCAACAAGAGAGATATTGTCATCTTTTCATCTAGTCCACTTTGCCTTTTTTTGTGTGTGATTCAACCCAAGGGTAGATCAGGCGCCCTGTAGCCAGATGTGAGAGAAATTCAGACCATGTATATGTGGGGGAGGTATGTGTACAGGAATGCCATGCTGTCAAGGCTAGCAACTTTTTCAATGGAATCTGGCAGGTCTATGGACATACAGGGTAAGACACTTTGCAATTTAAAAGGCAAAATAATTTTTGTACAAACTGAATTATTAAGTAAGTTGTAGAAAATTGAAATTACTGACTTATAAAAATAGAGAAGTTAATTCAGCCAGAATATCAGACAGACATAATAACCTACCAACACAACACAGAATATCAGACAGACATAATAACCTACCAACACAACACAGAATATCAGACAGACATAATAACCTACCAACACAACACAGAATATCAGACATACATAATAACCTACCAACACAACACAGAATATGAGATAGACATAATAACCAACCAACACAACACAGAATATCAGACAGACATAATAACCTACCAACACAACACAGAATATCAGACAGACATAATAACATATCAACACAACACAGAATATCAGCCAGACATATGACCTACCAACACAACACAGAATATCAGACAGACATAATAACATATCAACACAACACAGAATATTAGACATACATAATAACCTACCAACACACACAGAATATGAGATAGACATAATAACCTACCAACACAACACAGAATATCAGACATACATAATAACCTACCAACACAACACAGAATATCAGACAGACATATGACCTACCAACACACACAGAATATCAGACAGACATAATAACATATCAACACAACACAGAATATCAGACAGACATAATAACCTACCAACACAACACAGAATATGAGATAGACATAATAACCAACCAACACAACACAGAATATCAGACAGACATAATAACCTACCAACACAACACAGAATATCAGACAGACATAATAACATATCAACACAACACAGAATATCAGCCAGACATATGACCTACCAACACAACACAGAATATCAGACAGACATAATAACATATCAACACAACACAGAATATTAGACATACATAATAACCTACCAACACACACAGAATATGAGATAGACATAATAACCTACCAACACAACACAGAATATCAGACATACATAATAACCTACCAACACAACACAGAATATCAGACAGACATATGACCTACCAACACACACAGAATATCAGACAGACATAATAACCTACCAACACAACACAGAATATCAGACAGACATAATAACCTACCAACACAACACAGAATATCAGACAGACATTATAACCTACCAACACAACACAGAATATCAGACAGACATAATAACCTACCAACACAACACAGAATATCAGACAGACATAATGATCTATCAACACAACATCTTCATCTTGATGAGAACAATTAATTTTTAAAAAAGGGTAATTTTTCCGATCGTTTCTTTAGAATAAATGCATACAATAAATGCATACAATAAATGCATACAATAAATGCATACAATAAATGCATACCGGTACAAAAAATGTGTATTCACCTGCATGGAAAGTATTAAAGATTTTGAGTCATCTGGAACATGTCTGATTTCAAATCTAGCACTACCTGCAAATAAATTAGAAAGACTATGTTTGAAGTTGATGCAGCTCACTTTACATCAAAACAACTTTGATTGGCGTCAACAGATTGTTTCCTGTATATTAACACAAAACCAGTCAACATCTAGATAGATAAGCAACAAAAAGAAAATTATTATTCAAGATTACTCTCCCCTTGCTGACCACACATTCTAACATGTTAACATTTCAGTTCTTTCTAAATGGATAAAACACAACCATAAAATCAAAATAATTTTTTTACGGTCCAATTTCATACAATTTTCCATAAAGGTCTAAGATGAATAATTTGGTCGCTTTAGATGTAATTAGTGATAGGGATAATAATGCATATTCATGTATTGAAATAAACTCAAGTGAAGTATCAAGTAAATTAGTCTTTCTCTGTGATGTTTTTATTTTACTGTCTTATGATCCTATGTTTCAGCATTTTAGGAAAACAATGTGTTGAGGTATATGTGTTGAGAACTATGTGTATATGAAATGCAAAGCATTTTAATGTTAAATTTAAAGTTATATCCCATTTTTTACATTACAAAATCTTGCACACACACATAAAATATGTTATATAAAAGCAATTACCGGCCACCAACTTTGGTGTAAGCAACCGCAGAAGTATGGTAAAGACAGGTATTGAGCACAGTAAGGAGATTGCCTGTTGGAGACATCCTTGGACAGTTAGAACGACCAGACGTAGCTGAGGACAGCAAGAAATTTATGAGAGATCGCTTTACTTCAGGTAAGGCAATATTTTAACACTTTTCATACAATAACTGGTTTATTTGAACCCGATATATTTAATTCTCAACCATGTAGTTTGAAGCAATCTAATAAAATTTGATAGAAAAAATGAAACAATGGATATGATTTATAAATAGATATTGGGACCACCAGACTCACCACCAGATTCACCACCAGACTCACCAGAGTAAACACAGCATAGTACAAAGCAGTAGTTGGGAGGAGAAACAATAAAACTGTGAACAGTAAAGTGCCAACGAACAGTTGGTCTGTGTTGTAGGAAGCCGAATCAACCCGCGATCTCAGTACATTCCACTTCTTGCCAAGAAACAATCGCCACAACGAACCCAGGGCATAAACTTGAAAATTGAATATTCTGAAGGTTTGCAAGATAAAGATGAGGTATTAGAGCAATTCATCACATGAACTACTAACAAAGATTCGGGGCATAGCAAACTAAGAAAGCTGCGGAATGATGAAAGACAACAAAAAAATAAGTTCACTTAAAAGCAGAGAATATATCCAAATAAAAAACCAAACTATAGAAAACAGTTTAAATACACAGCCATTTTTTCCCTCACCTTGCTGCATAGACGTAAAAGCAATAAATGTGTAGAGTAAGCATAGAGAGGACATCTCGAACAAGACATAGCTGAGCTGACATGCCAAATATACCAATCCATGAGCAGTACCATATGACTGATGGCATGACACTTCGAAGAAGTGATAAATAACCTGGCAGAGACAAAAAAAGAACAAAATAATAAATTACACTTAAATCTAACATTAATTACACACATTTTTGATTCACTACTATTATTAACAATAAAATATTGCTAGACCACACATTTTTAAAAAAATATATTTAAATTTAAAAAAACAACACCTTTCCCCAGATTCCTTCAACTCTATCTAGCTTCTCACCTGACCACAAATAAATGTGGTATATGAAAAAGTGACCTAAAAATTTGGTGAGTTGAGAATTTAATTTGAGACCTGCCGGTGCCCCCATCAGCCATTGAACTAAGGTTGTCAGCTTGTGGGCTACATCCTAAAACAAACAAAAATTTTAAAACTATTAGTTCTTTCAATTTCAGTTTACTGGATAATGCAGCTAAGAATGGAACAAAATCAACAGTTATTTTCTGATTCTTTAACTTGTATTTCATCACTTTATATATATACATATATATATATATATATAAATTGCATATCTATTGATTATTTAAAACATTACATTTATTAGTTTTTGTTTAAGAAAAATGTGTTATTCTTGGAGGCTAACATTGTGTGTGATGTTATTATATAATAGTTAAGTCAGGTCTACTTACATCTGCCCAGTCGATGGTAAAAGTTCCTATGTCCATGGCTAGATCATTTTGAGTAATCCACAGAATAATACCAATGCCAAGACATGTATCAAGAAGCTGGTTACCACAATGGTTGTACAGCCTGTTGGGGAACAACTTAACCTTAGACTTTTTACTCAGAGATAGTATTTCATTTCATCTTTCCTTATCTTTTTTTTCATCCAGACTTAAATTATTTCCAAAAGGAACTATACATTGGGGAAGAGACAATTTTAAGATGTAGTTAACACATAAATGAATTGATTTGTTTCAACTGTGACAAGCTTCAGGCCAAATGACATTTGCTCAATTGTTTAAAAGGATTAGAAAGATGTATTCAATAAAACCAAGTTTTAAACTCACAAAAATAAATTAAATTTTTCTGTCCTTTTCAAAATAAGAATTCTCCTGAAATGAGATGCTTGAGTTTGGATGTGACGGATAATACTTGGAGCATGCACCAATTGGGCAACAGATCCACAACATACACAGCTCCATCTTTTTCTGAAAATATTTGGTGTTTTATCATTTAAATCTTGTCTAAAAATTGTTCACAGCTAACTAATGTCACAGACGACGCATCCAAAGATGAATCTGGACATTATGGCTAGGGCGCAAGTGGTTTAGAAAAGAAAGCAACATTTATTTTTAACAGAGGTAGTGACGACTAAATATCTTAAGATGATATTCTTCTATACATGAACTTCTCTTTATTAATGATGCCCTTTAAGAGACTTTGTTAAACTCTGCAGTAATAAAGATCTAATTTGTGGATCATTAGGTGAAATAAAGTAAGTGATGTTTTGGTATCAGATAAGACAATTAGAAAAGTGTCAAAAACACATGCACACACATATAGACACACACATATATGTGTGCTTGTGTGGCAATTATAGTTTTTTTGTTTTTGAAAATGTTATAATTTTAAAAATATTTTCCTTTGAGTATTAAAAAATCCTTGGTGTGGAGGGGGTCAATAACAATATTTCAGAAACATACTCACCCAATACTGAAGAGCCTGCCTACATGACAAATAAACATCATTAAAGTGAATGTTAGAGGTAGCCAGAGTGTAGAAATAAGCTTTGCTAAAGAATGTGATAACTTCATCTGATTTCTAAACAATGTGTTCATTCCAGTCTTTTCCATGCTCTCAGCTTCTAAACTGACATTTCTGACTAGGAACGCAAGAACATTTTCATTATCCTGGAGTTCTTTTAAGGAATAATTATCTTGACAATTTTTTAACTTTGTTGTCCTCATGTCTGAATCTGCCTTTCCTCCTGATCCGTCTACAAGTTTTGAATGAAGATCAATTATTGCACTGCTGTCATAGTCTGCTGAGATGGTTTGATGCAAGACATAGGACAACTCAAGATCTTTAGGTTCATAAAATATGCAAACAATAGGGCAGACTTCTGCACACGAGGCCCTGAATGTTAAATGACAGCTGACAAAATTGCCTGAGCCATGGTTAGTAAGATTTATAGTGATCAGAGGGTCTGTAATGCCTGGATCACTTATGGGTAAGTCAGGGTTACTTATTTGCCAACAGCCAACATTTCTCTGCTTGCTTTGCTTTATCTCTTCATAAGAATGAAGGATCCCATTGATGAATATCATACAGTTGTCATGGTCAATGATTCCAAGGAGGTATCCAGGCTTTGCAAATAGCAGCTCATTAGGGACAAAGACATTCCAAATTTTCTTTTGCATTTCTATTCATGTCATATTTTCCCCCATTAAAGTTGCTTTGTTAATAGAGACAGGTCTGAAATTATAATTAAAATTAGATAAATTTGAATATTAAAATAATTAATTATGAATATCAAATATTAACATGTGATATAAATTATGAGAATTAAGACTATTAAAATAATAATGAATTCTTTAACACTTTAAAAAAAAAAAAAATTTGATAATTTTAAAAAATTTAAAAAAAAATCTTCTTAACCTCAAAGGGTGAAAAGTTTTAGCTGAAAAAGAACTAGTTAAACTAGGAATCTTATCAATCTTTTATATAAACTAAATTTGAATGACGATGGGGACGGGAGGTCAATTACTTACCAAAATAGCCTGATGTCATTAACAATTTAATCAATAATTATTTGATTGGAACAACTATTAAGATCAATGCTAAATTGTAGTTAATATGATATCGTCATTTTTATCTAATGATCATAAGTGTTACACTTTACAGTTGAGTGCTGATGAAGAAATTAATGGGACCTTGCAAAGCAAATGTGCGCATAAGCCAAAACTTGAAATGCTAACCCCATTGAATCAAATCATATCATTATCATATCACTATCATATAATTATCATATCACTATCATATCAATATCATATCATTATAATATCACTATCATATCACTATCATATTATTATCATATCATTATCATATCATATCACTATCACAAATTTGCATTTTAGCATTACATGACAAAAGTCAAGGACTGTTTAAAAAAATTAGAAAGTTAGAAAGAAATTTGATCAAAAATGTTAAAACAATCATAACGCTACATGGAATTCTGTAAATTCAACAAAATAACTTAAAAAACAAAATAATTATTTTAAATTTCTAAATGGCTTCGAGGGCTGCATAATATCAGTTGCTATATACTCGTCATAGTCTGAATTCAAAGTATATCGGTGGGTTGAAAAGTAATAATATCCAATCCATTCAGGGAGGGTCTAGAATTTTCAAGAAGGTTACAAAATTTAAAAGGCTTGATCTAAGGCATAACTAAACCGATTTTAATGGGATAACTTTTAAATTTTAACTCCATTATTTATATGAAAGATTTTTATTGGGGCCCTCATATCTTAGGCATAAACAAAATGGCACAATTATGGAATGGGCCCCCACGAGGGCCCCTCTTTTAACTTAAATGAAAAATGGTCATAGTTACTGCATTTAACTGTAGAATTTTTTAATTTCCTGGGGATTTTCTCAGTATTACAGAGTCAACTTTTTATAAGTCAAATAAATTTCTTAACTATTTATCAAACTATTTTTCTTTCTATAATCATTTTAAGAAATTACAAATGCCATTATCACGTTTATTATGCTACATTAACTTCCAAAGATTTTCCTCAAATGCTATGGTATAAGAATTAAAGATAATTTTGGAGGTTTTTAGAAATTTCCAAATTAATTTTCCATTGCTAGGTCCTGAGCTATATAAATAAATGAAGTTTAAGGCTTAGATTATGGTATACACTGCTATGTTTATTGTTTATTAATGGATCTTGGTCAAAGTTGGTAAACATACCCTTCATAATCCTTCTGGGGAACTTGATCCCACCGAGAAGGATCCCAATGGGGAACGGGATCCAACTGAGAAAACGTGATCCAACAGGGTAACGATAACACCACAGAGAATAGATCCCAACATGAATGGGCCGAATGGGACCTCACGGGGAATGGGAATCTACTGAGGAATGCCTTCGAGGCATGGGATCACAGTGGCAACTGGATCCCATTGGAGGGGTAAATTGTCCCAGAATTCAAGACAAGTTGGGGGCGTAAAATGAGCTTTGATCATTGATTGTATTTTATTGGCAGGTAGGTAGTTGAAACTTCTTGCACCCAGTGTTTCTTTCAGAAATTCCCCCCCCCTCCCTCCCTCCCCCTGAAGGGGGGCGGGGGGACGACGACAACTTCAGATTTTTTTTTGGGGGGGGGGGGGGGGCAAGAACCCGGTTGTTTTTTTTTTGAAAATTTTTTTGCTTGGGTGTCCCCCCCCCCCCCCCCCTGGGGGGGGGGGGGGGGCGGGGGCAACGTTCTGTTTTTTTTGTGGGGGTGGAGGGGGGGGGGCAGAGAGCCAGTTGGTTTATTGTGGAACATATTTTTGCTCTGGGTCCCCCCCCTCCCCCCCCCGGGAAATAGCTGAAAGAAAGAAACCCTGCTTGTACTTGCACCATATCTAAAACCAAAGGGATACAATAAAGTAGCTTCGTTCACCACGAAATTTATGTACCGGCTGAAATTATTTAAACTTTAATGTTTTGTTCTTATTTTTATTTATCTCGGTTAAAAGCTAAACCGGCACATTCTCTTTTTTTATCCCCTCCCCATTTTAGCAAACACATGTATTTTTACAATGCAACCACCTAGGTTGCCATCCGAATCATGAAAGTGAGACATCATGCGTAAGTTTAAAGTTTACCATAATAATAATAATAATTACTTGCACACTCTCCACCAGTCACAATTTTCATCATAACAACTTACAAAAAACAACAACACAGTCTCATGATTAATGATTCATGAGTTTGTTTTGATTAATTTGAACTTTGACTTTGACCGAATTTAGTTTATTGAGTATTGAGTGAGTTTGGCTGATTGACAGTACAGTACAGTACAGTGATTCAGTGATTGACTGACTCGAATGCCTGAGTTTGTTTGTTTGTTTTTAAGACAAGTTTAAGCTGACAAATGGAAACAGCTATGTTTGATAAAAAATTACATTATTATATTTGATAGTCAGCAAAAAACTTATAAGCTTACTGTATTGTACACTGTTACACTGTAAATTGTGTCATTTATTTTTCTTTAATTGCATTCTTAATCTTTTTTTTTCGCTATTTCATTAAATTTGACTTTTAACATTTACCGGAAGTATTGGCAGCTAGGGTAACGGCGTAAATGGCGTACTATCAACTTTCTCGTTTAAAACAACGGATATAATAAAGCCTAACTGAATTTTATTATATTTCTTTACAAACACAACTAGGAAACACATTTTTAAAAGGTAATCAATAGTTTCAGAAAAATATAACCGGCATGCTTTTAATATTTAGTTAATTTAACATAATCTCCAAAACTCTTTTGACGAAATTAAATTAAAAATTATACAATAAAATGGCCTAAAAAATAGGCCTAGATCTATTTATCAAAACTAAAATAAAAATATTAATATTAAAAGCATTATATTGATGTCATCATTACAACTTTCTTTTTAAATTTGGAAAGTTAACTTTTTTCAGTGTTGTAGACTTAATAAATTATCTTGTTAGAATGTTTAATCATTCCAGCAGATCCATCTGCATGTTTTGCTTCACCTTTTGCTTGTCATTTGTTTGTTGGTCAGCTAATTTCAGTATTCTCCCCTTCTTTGTGGAGCCGCTGTGATTTAAATAAAACTCTAATAGTTCAGTTTCCTCAAAAAACATTAATATGACATACAATGAGAAATCCAATCACCATCTGCACATATAGTCTATGGCTTTTATTTTTATAATAACTACCAAAGTCAAAGGTCACTATAAATTATAAATAATCATAGAAAAGCATATTTTATTGGGATGGACCTGTGAATAATTGATATAATAAGTAATAAGGTTCTGTGTGTGGATTAACCTATGTAGCTTTGTGTGTATCAAATGAAAATGTTATGACAGGTAAGTTATATTAAAACATTAAGCCTAAGCGGTTACATCAGAATAGTGACAGTGACATAATAATTAATGTTCAATAATTTTTTTACATTTATATACATTAAATCAGAATGAGTCGACTCTATGATACTGTTGAGCCTTCTGTAATTGATGAGGATATGTTACAAAAGGCTGTAGAAGAGCAAGGACCTAAAGATGAAGCAGGAAAAATTGCTAAGAAAGAAGGCATCAACTTTGGAGATGTTCTTTCATTAAGGCTGGACTTCAAAAGTACTTTATTTATTTATTAAATTATCTCATTCTTGGGTAGAGTTTCAAATCTTTGCCTAATGTTCATAATCTATAGTTCATTTTTTTAAAAATTCCCTCTTATAATATTATAAAGCCAATGTTTTATACTGCAAACATCATAATGTATAAACATAGATGTGTTAAATATTGAATTTTTCTTAAGAGTCACTGATGAACAAGAAGTATTTTGATTTTGTTTTTATTCTTTTAAGTTTTATTTTATTTGAAAAAAAATGAAAAAGAAAAACATTTCCTAAGCCAGTTGGTTTTTCTATTAAAGGGTTGAAACATGACTAGGCTACATGAGTATATGCTGTTGAAAGTTTAAAAAAGACAGACAAATTGTAATGACAAAAATAAGTAGACGGCCTGGAAATTTAACAATACAATAAAGAAGTATTTATTCTTGCATTTAGATATAATTCCATGGCATAAGTAATTAACTAAATGTAGTTGTTTTGATTACTAATAAATAAAAAATAATTATAGAATATTTTGACACTATTTGAATCCTAGCTTTCATTTTAATCTTCAGATGTCCTAAAGATTGACAATCTTTGGGAATTTACGTCTCTGACAAAGTTGCAGCTGGATAATAATATAATAGAGAAAATTGAGGGATTGGATTTTCTAGTCAATTTGGTCTGGTTAGGTAGGTTTTTATCTTTTATCTTTTAATTTATATGAAACTAGCCAATATACCCATGCTTTACTAAATTATGCAGGAGGGTGGGATGAACTTTAATTGATTGAATCTAGAAATGTGTATATGCATGTTATCAGCATTTAATTTTGAGTCAGTAAAAGACCATAAAAAGGAAATAGCTAACTACGAAAAGGAAAATTTGTAGGTGGGGGAGGAGGTAATCCTTTATTGAACTTTGTATTTATGTCACAAAAAAGTTTTGTCTCTTGTAAGATGTTACCCTGATGTAACTAATGTTTGCTAAAATCTACAGTTTACTGTGACCTTTTGTTTAAATTTGTTGCTATTTAAAAAAATTAAATTTGTATTTTACCTCACAGCATACTCTGTAATCTTTCTTTTGTATCCCCAAATAGTCTCTTATTCACTCCTGCTTCTAAGCCTGTGATTACCAACTCATTCCCCAAATAGTATTTTATTCACTGCTGCTTCTAAGCCTCTGACTACCAACTCATTCCTCCCCTCCAAAACACCCACTGCTTAAAACCTCAAACCAGCTCTCCCTTATTCCAATTTTCTCCTCAACCTCTAGTTTAAAAAAATCGCCACCACTCTTTTTGTTTCTGCCGCTAAACCCACTGCCCCATCCCTCATAAACTATGATCATATTTGTTATTCCCCCATCACTTCTATGTTACAACTTGGTACCTGGTAATAAGGGGAGAGAATGCAATCAGATTAGCAAAATAGGAAATGAGTAAAACTAAGTAAGATCAAATCAGAAAAAAGGAACGCAAGAAAACAATGAATGTGTCAGCAGGAAGCCTTCATCAGCAAACAAACAACAGAAAAAACAGAAAAAGATTAAAAAATAGCACTTAGCTGAGAAGTAACATCCGAGAGGCAGCAAAAGAATTGTGACAGAAAATAAGTAGGTGAGAGATTAAAAAAAGGGAAAAGGGAAAGAAAAGAAATTAGTCCTCTGCAATTGGTCATGATGTGGAGGGGCGTGGCAAAGGCTCAAGCTGTGAATGAAGACATGACATTCATATCATGTGGTGTCAAGGTTCCATAGGTCTGGATAAGCTTGTTCATGCCTTCAGGTCATGTCTGAGTGACAATGTTGACAGGACCCAACTATACTTTATTTTATAGCAGAGATTACATTTTTTTGTGTGGCTTTTGTCTAATTTTGGCTACAGTTAATTAAAATGTATCCAAGTAGGATAATTAACTAAAATCAATTTCAAAACATTGAATAAATATGATTAATGTTGATATGAACACTTTCATTTGCCTTTTTCACAGATTTATCATTTAACAATATTGAGGTAATAGAAGGCCTGAACAAACTGACAAAGCTTCAAGACCTTACACTATACAATAATCATATCAGTAAGATTGAAAATCTTGATGCTCAACTGGAATTGCAGGTTTTCTCTATTGGGAACAATGAAATTAAAGATATTAAAGATGTCAGTAATAGTTACTTTTAAATAATCTCATTAATAGTTTAAGATACTTAAATACTTATCAAATATAAATTTGATAATTATTGAAATTATTACATGATAAGCCAGTTGAAAATTTAATTGACAATCTATCATTCATATAATAAATAACTACGCACACTGCTCCACTCTAATAAAACTTTAGCTCTTAACTTCAATTCATAATAAATACTCAATATTAAATATTTATATTTTCAACAGATCTTATACCTGCGGCGCTTTCCAAAGCTTAAGACATTAAATATCAACAATAATCCTGTGTGTCAAGAAGAGAACTTTCGGCTCTATGTGGCTGCATTTCTACCCAAACTTGAGTTTTTAGACTATCGCTTGCTTGATCAACAGACAGTAAGTTTAAAAAAAAATTATTATTACTTTTGCATGCCGGTTACAATGTTTTGAAATATTCACTTACAAATGATTAAAGTTATTATTTATGTCCCCTACACAACAAATGTTTATGACAGACATCTACATCAGCAAATAGTACAGGCAACGAGTAACAAATACACAAATAAAAAAAAATGAGATACTACATTTTAGTTAAGTTTTTATATTTATTGTTATATTTGTTACACTTTGTACTGTTCGCTGATGAAGGCTCTTATAGACACGTGCATCCCTTTTTCAGGTTTTCCCCTGCCTTGTACTACATGTTTCCTTTTAAGACGTTAAGGGATGGACAGACAGTATTTTCCCTTCCATTTTTATAGTTTTATTTGAATTTGAGTTTCATGTTTTCAGAAAACAGTTGCTTATGACAAGTATCAGAATCAAGTTGAGGAGCAAATTGACAAGGACAATAAGGCCAAGTTGGTTGCTGAGGCACAACAGAAACTAGATCAAGAAATTCATCGTCAAAAGGTATTTAAAAAAAAGAATTCTGTCAAACAAACTATATTAGCTTATTTTATGTTTAGTTTTTCTATTAACTGAACAACTGAATATTAATCCTCTACAATAACTCAGTATGAATACTACCTGGGCTACAATAACTAACTATAACTACAATACCAGAACTGAATATGACTATTACACAATCCCTGTATATGACTACTATACAATCAATGACCGTGACTTCTATTCAATACCTACTATGCAATACCTAAATTTGAACACCATACAACCGTGGTGAGCATTAGCTTTTTATTAGGCACTGTCAAGCCAGTTCAATGGCGACATTTTTTATACAATTATATCTGTACACTAGACATTTTTTTAGAGTGAGCATATTTATTGTAATGTTTGAAAAACCACAATTAATCAAAGAGTGAAAGGGGCAAAATATTCTTTACAAATGCCAATTATTAAAACTTTGCAACATTTCTGTTTACCGATTATTCTAACTGTGGCTTAAATCACTTGCAGAAAGCACATTGTAATTTATCATTAATATTCACATCTACATGTCATGGACAATGCTTGATCTTCAAGTGTATAACTTAAGAAAAGATTGGCTCTCATTATCAAGTATAGTCCCATGCACCAAGGGAATTGTTTAAATCCCTGATTTCATGTTTAAAGATCTGCAAACAAAACAAAAAGTTGCTGCAAAACGAAATTTCCAGCCAAAAATTGGTCAAAGTATATAACACATTGGTTTTACATTCACTTCTGTCACAAAATAATCAGCCTCTTGAGTTTTATTAAACGTGCAAGTTATTTGCACCAGTCCCACTTAAAAAAAAAATCACTGTCATCCTTAATCCAATTAGTTTTACTTTCAATATAATCAGACCCTGGGTGCTGGCTTCTTAATTGGCTATAATAGTAATAATATATTTTTTTTTAAATTGTTAGATAGCTTTAACTCCTTACTTATTAGATATAGATTTGATACCCTGTTAAATAAAGAGTTTGCTTAAAATGGATGAATAAAAAGGAAGATGAAAGATGTATTTGTGGCAGAAGCTTCAGAGAGAACAAAATCTTCAACATAAGTAAAATGACATGAAAGGTTGAGATGTGGCTTAGCTAACATATTGCCCATCATGGGCTTACAAGAAATGAATATGACTATTATACAAGAACTGAATATGATTATTATTCAAGAACTGAATATGACTATCATACAAGAACTGAATATGACTATTATACAAGAACTAAATATGACTATAATACAAGAACTGAATATGACAATTATACAAGAACTGAATATGACTATTTTACAATGACTGAATATGAATATTCTCCAATGAATGAATATGACTATTTTATAATAATTAAATATGCCTACTTTACAATGACTGAATATGAGTATTATACAATGAATGAATATGGCTATTTTATAATAATTAAAAATGACTATTTTACAATGACTGAATATGAATGTTATATAAAAACTGCTTATGACTAACAGAAATCTTCTAATATTATTGAATTATCTATTTTATACATTTTAATTGATTTCAGGAAGCTTATGTTGAATATCTGGACACTGATAAACTGTTTGTTGATATGTATGCTGATGATCCAGAAGGAAACAAATTAAATGAGATCCCAGGAGTCGATGAGATGCTGATTATATATCCTTTTTGAAAAATTGAAGCTCTGAAGCTGAAGGATATTTAATAAAGAATTTGTATGACAAAAATGTCATTTGGGCAGTATTTATTTATCCTTAAGTCTTACAATAATATTTTTTTTTTCAAATTCATTTGCTATTTGCTAAGCTTGAATTCAAATAAATTTTTGTTGCTTCAGTTATAATTTACTTATTTTTCTATAATAATTAAAAACAAAAACATGTGATTTGCTTATTTACATGCTGTTTATTTTTTTAGTAAACAAAATGTTGTGCCTTAAACCACTTCTTATTTAATACAAGATGAAAAATTGTTGAAATGGATAGCTTCCTTAATAATTTTCACCTACAAAGAAAAATTGGTGGCTGTATGCAAGGAACTATTTAGTTTTGGCCTCTTGGAACATGACAAAAGAAAAGCAGAAGTTGACATGTTTTGGGAGTGTGTGAATGAAGCCAAGCTGGAAAACAAACAAGAGGGCATGAAAGCCATAGAAGAATTTAACATTGAGAAGAAAAGGGTCAGTTGAAAATGCCTTGGCTTAATTCAACTTCATTTATCAGGACACAAATTGCTAAATTTCATGTGATAAGAGATAATAAAGAAGAAAAAATATAACAGCAAATATAGTGTTTGAACAGGATATACACAATTTGTCTTAATAAAAAAAAGGGTAATTTCTTCTCTAAATCCAATAGTTGAAAGACCTAAAAGACTTGAGAAGACTAGAAGTTAGACGTCCTAAAATTCATGTACGGTGTATTAGTCCCATAGTAGTTCATAAATTTTGCAGTTTAATTAATGTTTTTTGGTTATTTAAATTGTCTAAATATTTTATGTTTATGTATATTTTTTTAGCTGTTTTCTGAAATTCAGCAATTAACTGATGCAAAGTTAATGGAAATAAAGGTTATGGAGTTTAATACTTTGATCAGTGAGCTTTGGGATAAGCTGATGGGACTTGAACTGCAGCTAGTCGACCAGCTGGAGGTAACTATTTCTTTGTAATGTGGAGAATGGGGAGAATCTCATTGATGGGTCTTGAACTGCAACTAGTGAACCAGCTGGAGGTAATTATTTCTTTGTAATGTGGAGAATGGGGAGAATCTCATTGATGGGACTTGAACTGCAACTAGTTGACCAGCTGGAGGTAATTATTTTTTAGTATTGAATGGGGAGAATCCCAACTTGAGTAGAGCAGGTGGGTGGATAATTGCCACAGGTACAAAGACCGGACACTGAATAACTGTCATAGGGTATCAGATTGCACCAGGACAAGGCTATCAGGCTAGTACAACTGTCATAGTGACAGTATAGTTATAAAGCAAAGGTATAGAATGCAGTAGCCGGTGGCTCCTTAGTGAAAAATGCCCATGTAGTGACCAAGAGAAATATTCGTAGCACACATGCGGAAATAGATATTCCTGGTAGAGAAGCAACAACTAATTTGAGGATTTGTAAAAGGGCACAGTTAGTGAGGACTTGTAAAAGGGCACAGTGAGTGGGGACTTAAATGAGAACTCAGCCAGAGAGCATTGGAGGACAGTTGGGGAAGGAAAACACGGTCAGAGAGAGTACCATTGGAGGGTAGACCAGCACAGTTGAGGAACCAATTTGGACAGTAGGGAGAGACAAGTCATGACAGTGAGAACTGAGCACCAGAGACATATGAGTGAATCAGCGTCACATAGAATTAAGGAGAAAAGGCTATATATAACCCTAGATGTATCATGTTATTACCTGATTATTACAGTAGGAGTGACATACTAACTTAACTTAAGTATTAGAGAGCAGAAACAAAACCAGAGTGAAAAGGTTCTCTGTAGTATTTAATAAATTGCTGTGTTCCATTGATAGTGACAAACATTGTGGTGAGCTTGATGTATTTTTGTTTTGTTACCAGATGATTTAAATAATATTTTAATTTCACTTTTTAAATGTCTTATCAGCCTCAGAAATGAACCCATTTTGATGATTCAAATTTACTTGTGAATGTGATGTAAAAAGAAATGAGCATTTTTATCTCCACTTTTTTAAATGAATTCTAATTTGTAACTCTCACAATAATAACCCTTTCAAACAGATTTTTTCTTCCCTGAAAACAGGAAGTTATAAAAGATTTTGACCGCAACATGCAAGACCTGGTGAGTGGCTTCTTGGAAAATGTTCAAGCTTATCTCACACAAGCCAGAGAGTTGGAGAACCAGCACAATGAAAAAATGATAGAGAGCGCCACAATAGCACTTGAAAAAGCTGCAAAGAATGAACTAGAGGAAGATGTTTCAGAGGATCTCAGAATGGTGAGAGCACTTGGTTAATGTAACACATGCTATTTTACTGTCGATGTAGCATGGTTAGCTAATACTTTGATTGTCATGTCACTTGTGTAATGTAATTAATTCTCTCACTCCTCAACTCAACTTGACTGTCCTGTCACACAATGAGGATTCAACGTCCATGAATAAATCCTACAGTACTTTATTATATGAATTACTACGGCAAAAATAAGACTTGCTATGAGGGTATCCTGCGATAACTCCAGGATGCAATCATTATACACTTACACAATATTCCATATCACAATTTGAATCACAATACTACAATACTTCAATAATTCACATGATAGAAAATAAAGCAGGTCTGCTCTCTGTCAGAAAAAAATGGTGTACTCCTTCGTTTAACTAAAGCGTGCGTTCTACCTCCGCTATAGGAAAATAGTTCCTCCTCTTTTCTCTTGAAATACGAGGTATTACAACTCTGTGCTCAAATTACTACGCCATCCTGACATATTAATGTTGTGTGAAAAATTACAGACAATTTGGTCTGTTACAGTTAAATATTGCTGTCTATATCGTTCTGTCTGTTCTAATCACAGATCTATATCATTAGGCATGTATCGCAATTTCCATGTCAGCCTCTTGACCAAAAAGTAGTCAGTCCAATGTCAAGGATTGTCCCCAGGCTCTGAGTAAACAAAGCCAATTGATTGAACTGGTTAGATAAGAAAGGCAGATATTTAGGTAAACAAAGCCAATCGATTCAACTGGTTAGATAAGAAAGGCAGATATTTGGGTAAACAAAGCCAATCGATTCAACTGGTTAGATAAGAAAGGCAGATATTCTCAAGAATGATGTTAACAAAATAAAAAAATGCAGTATTTAAAAAAAAAAACTTCATGTGAAGAAAAAAAAAAAATTATATAATTAATTGTTCCATAATGGTTGTATTTTTCTTTTTAAAATATGATAGTACAGCATCTGGGACACCTATTTTATTGACCTCATTTTTCTAAAAGCTTCTAGTGGACAAGGACACAGTGTTGAATGCTGTTACTTCATCACATGATGTCCATCTTTTGAAAATAGACAACAAGGAAGATGACATTGTTACTAGAATTAATGGATGGCTCAAGAACATGGTTACCAATATTCATAATGAGGAAGAAATCAGGCGTAACCGCACACGCGTGACAGAAATAAACCATTACATAGACCACTTGCGGGAAGAGGTGGAAGCACTGGACATGGCAGTAGGTAAGTAACTGGCTGAGACTGACGGTCCGTTTTGAAACATGATTCATACTCACATCGTGCCAGCTACTGGTATTATGAGGTATTTCCATAACTGAAAGCCTACGTTGTTTCTCTATTGCACTTTTCTGGAAATATATATCTTGTGCTTTCATTTATAGCTTACATTAATGTAGTAATATGTTTCTTTATCTAAAATGATGTTGCAGAGCTATGGTCTCAGTCAAATTTATGTTAAGTCAAAGATCATCAAAGAAACGTGTGTATAATCTGTTTTAGCTCAGTTTTTGCTATATACTGACTCAGATTTTATATCTGAAAAACAGAGAAGCTTTTGTGACAGAGAAGAGTTGCAGAAACTTCAAAGCAAATGCAGTTTTAATGCTAGACTTTTTCAGTTCAGTGAATAAAAATTTTAATGTAGTACATATGCAATATTTTTTACTAAAGCTGCTACACAAGAACTTGTAAGTTGTCATTTTTTAACCTTAGTAAACAATTTGGGAGCATTTTGAAAACATTATTTTATTTCTATTTTTTTGTTCTCAAGTTCATTTTGCTTTTGTCAACTTTCAATTAAATTCATGCATGTTATTTACATAAAGCTGTTACCCGTAAATAGTTATGAATGTTTTCGTAAATTAGTATTAATTTGAATTTAACTAAATTATAACATCCACGATTGACTTGAGGTTTACCACTAATGTAGAACATTAATGGCTTTAACTTTAAGAAATAATTTTCTTATGAAAATGTTTGGGGATTATGGGAATCATAGCCACAAAGGTCTTTTCCTCACTTCAGATAATCCCCCAAAGTTTAATAAAGTTGAAATTTTAACTAAATATGTGATGAAATAAATACAGAAATAAACAAAAGTTTTAAAATTAATAAAAATATGACCTTTTTAGGGGCATCTGATCTGATATGTCTTGTTCTAGTGGCAGGTTCATTAAATAATTCACCACATCAATGTTGACTTTTTAAATCAGGGTTAAGGAGTACTAGCAGAGGCTCCACCTATTCCGGGTATTTAGTCTCATGGGGTGTCAAGTTGGCAACATAAGAACCTGTGAGAGCAGTCTGGGAAAATCGACATCCAGGGCCATATCCCTTTTGTAAGAGCAGACACATGTCTGAATAGGCATTCAGTAGCAGTAAAACCTTTTCTCACCCCAAACACTTTGCTTGGACCAAACGGATCTAGGCATTTCTCATGGCCTTAAATGCGTTTCTTCCACTCTACATAATCTCAGGAACACATCTATCAAAAGAATTTTACAACATCTTCCATAATAAGAGACATCTCACCACTTATGACAAACAACATTACATTACTATAGTAGGGATTTGAGATTTAAAAGAGCAATGACACCCACCCCCTTTGACACACAGTGTTAATTTTAATTTGTTCTAGATTCATACTTTTAACATCATAATATTCACTTTTAAACAATTTCACTTACAACAGATAGAAAGTCACATTATGTGTTAAAAAATGCCACCAAATAGCACAACTTAATAATTATTATTTACGTGTATGGGCAATAGGCTTTGTCATTTCTTAGACCGGAAAACGTCATAGGGTACTATTTTTAGAAGGTCAGCGGACAAATATTGCTTAAAACATGGCAGCTTATAGTGTGTTTCAGCATATCGTTCGGATTCATACTTTTAACATCATAATATTCACTTTTAAACAATTTCACTTACAACAGATAGAAAGTCACATTATGTGTTAAAAAATGCCACCAAATAGCACAACTTAATAATTATTATTTACGTGTATGGGCAATAGGCTTTGTCATTTCTTAGACCGGAAAACGTCATAGGGTACTATTTTTAGAAGGTCAGCGGACAAATATTGCTTAAAACATGGCAGCTTATAGTGTGTTTCAGCATATCGTTCGGACGATCCTTGTATCTCGAGTTACTGTTACATTTGCCGTTCAAGCAATGAAGTCGCATTTCAGAAAATAGAAGTAAAAAAAAATATGTAAAATATTTCGTAAAATAGAGTTGTGAACAAATTTCAAGGACACTTCGCTAACATAGTAATACTGAACAGTGTTGACATTTTGTCCGCGCTGAGTACCCGGGTGATGAGTAATAATGACATAAGTTCTATTAATAGATTTCCGCCATTAAATGACAAGCCCTATTAATAATACATAGCTAAAAGTATGAATGGAGTAAGAATTGAAATGGTCACTGCAGGTCCATCTCATATCCAATCATTAATACCGTTACATAGAGAAATATGTGTTTTGATATAATATGGTCACAGCCTGGTTCAATGTTTCTTGATTTTTTTTTAAATACTCGGTGCCCTTGCCTTAACCAGGTTTTTTACAAGTGACACTAAATAAAAAAAGAGTTTTGAACATCTATCACAAAGTTTTGCATACATGTGCTCGGCAATTTGAAATCAGAGGCAAAAAAAAAAAAAAGATTGAAAAATTGTATCTGTTTATTGGCTAGCATTTACTCACTAGCATTTTTAGATAATAATTTCTCACTTCTCAATTTTATTAATTTGGTTCATTTTATTATTTTATAGGATAACTTCTCAGCACATTTATTTAATTTATTTCAGTGAAACTATTTTATTTAAGTATGATATTTGCAATAATTCATAGTTAGGCTGGCATTTAAACAAGACGATATTTTTGTCCACATGAAGCAATTTGAATCACTATTTGATAATCACCTACAGGAGTCACTTTAGTATTTAGAAAAGATGTAGACAAAAATTTTACTTTAACTTTCACATTTGTAAAACGCAATTTGCCCCCAAAAAGGATGTCTAATTTACCACTGTCTTAAAACTCAACTTTTTTATGCAGCAGTGTTAAAATCTTAGCTACTCAAATTTACCCTTAACTTTATTATAGTCACTAAAACAGTTCCTTTTAGCCTTTTCGTTTGGAAAAAAAAAGAATTTTCAAAGAATATGCATATTCATTGAATTTAGGGATTGAAATTGTGAACTTGCAATCTTACTTCTATTTTACTGAAATAACATTACATGAACCATAATCATGTCAAATTTTGGGAAGAGCTAATGCATTAGAAGCTGTTATATAATTTAAAATTTAAGTGAAAAGTTATTTGAAGTAAGTTATAAGGTCAATGTCATTGAAAATTAAATTTTTAATCCTTTTTTTATCTTAGATGTGATGAGATAACTATATACTAATTTAGAACAAATGATAAGAGAATGAGTTTGCTATTTTACATTGTGAAACACTTTTTTATAGAGGTTTCTCGTTATTTTTATAACTTACCTGATTCTTGTTTTACTATTTAAAAACAAAATAAATTTATACTATATCAATATATTGAATTGATTATATTTATTTGGAAAACTTTAGGGAACTAAATTCAAAGGAGGAAGTTTTATCAGAAATTCTGCAACTGCGGTTCACATAAAGAGAACAGACGTGTCTCAAGCCATTCTGGAGAATGATGAGACTGAAGAGCCTAAAAAGGAGTAAAGTTAACAACATTAGATTTGGGTAGAAAGTGCCTCAATTAGTGAACGTGAAATGTACAGTGTGTTTCTCTCAACATTAGCCCCAAGTGTTCTTGTAGAAAGTTTTGACCAATTAAGGTAATAAAGTGAAAGTTCACAAGAACATCACTCTGTCTTTGAAAGTGCAGCTGCACTCTTGAAATCTACAGACGTCCTTTCTTATGGACTTGACTTTGCCCATGTGAAATTTCACTACATTATCTTAATTAGATTAAAAGTTATAAGCGACAAAATAAGGCCAAAGCTTGTGAAACACTTTGTATAAAAACAGACTTGTATTTATATTTCTTAATGACAAGTTTAAAAAAAAGTATAATGAACTTAAGTTGTCAAAAAAATTACATTAATAAAAGTTCTTAACAAAAAAAAACACCACCAATTTTGACCATGTTCCTTTTGAAAACCCATTGATGTGACCTACCAGGGTTTGGCGCCAACATACTGTCTAACTCTTGAAGTAAAATATACAAGACTTTAACTTTATGGTAAAAAGTAAATTTAAAAATAGTGGCACAAGCGCGCGAAACAAAAAGTAGTACAGTCGCTATCTGTCAAATCTTACTTGGTGTGGTTTTTTAAAGTTTATATTTCTCTATTTTTTTGTAAATTTCCACTTTAATAAAAAATGTTGTTATTCAGGAGGTGGGTGTTTAAAATGAAATAAATGTCTAGTATTGTTCACTTATTCCAGGTCCAATTTTTGACATAATTTCATTTGTCTTTTCTGGCATAATTCATATAATATTTTTTGGATTATAGAAAATTCATGTTAATATGAGGAGATAAATTTGCGAAGTAATTTTGCAGCATCTTGAACTGAAATTTCTTCATAAATTTTTGTAATTAACCAAATGTTATTAAAGTAAATGGTTAACATTGTAATTAAAATTATGTTAAAATATTTATCATCAATATTTTGAATGCGCAATTGGTTGTTCAATAAAGTTATTTTAACGTTTTTACATGAGTAATATTGGTGTCTTTCAGAAATAATGATGTAAGAGTCATATTGCTGAATGTACTCACATGTCAAAGAATGTACAAATGTCAAAGAATGTACACATGTCAAAGAATGCTTATTTGAATGAATGAAATCTTAAAATGTGATGCAGTTATGAATGATATAAAAATAAATTTGCTTTTTCAAGTTGTTATTATATTGTTTGTAAGGCATTACTTTACATTGTTTAGCTTCTCTGGTATGTTGGAGATTATGTTTTTGAGCCTAGACCAAGAAACTAAGAATGCTTTAAACAAATTGTCTAATTGGAAGAAGTATCACCACTAATGTTTAAAAACATTGCCTGTGTGACAGATTATAGATGACTTGACAATTTAAAAGTTAAATTATAACAGATCAGATCTGAATTTTTTATGTCTATCTAAATACAGATCCAAAGTCAAGTCATCACTTAAACTTAAATCAATCAAAACAATAAAAAAAAATAATAAAAAAACAAAAGAACTGCTTAGGGTTGTCAAATTTTATTAACATACATCAACATTTGTTTACATCAGACGGGATATATTGAAGCTTTCTGTTTGATTGTGGAACTCTCACTGCACCAGTGAACAAATAAAGCAGCAGCCGCAAGCCGAGACTGAAGTTCGTACTGTTCCATGTTATGATACCATTCCACGGTACCCCAATGGTTTGTCTGAAATAGTGACCTTCATAATGAGTTGAAACTCACATTTGTTGAATATGAAACCATTCTTCATAAATACATAATACGGTACATAATTTATTTCATTGGAAACTCAACTTGATTGAAATTTAAATGTTCCTGTAAACTTTATCAACAGTTGTAAACCAAATGTTTATTGGAAAGAAACTTTCGCTTGATGCAAATTAAAAAGATTATTTGGCTGTTGGTGATACCCATTTTGAAGTGCAAGCAGTTTCCTATTTACAATTCTTAACGCATTCAAATGCCAAAGTATTAAAACTTAATTTGAAAAACAAATAATGACCTGAAAAAATTGTTCCAGTCTTGCTAGTTCCACAGCCTTCTCCACACTGATGTGCTTGTCAACTAAAGCCATGACTATGAGTAATGACTTGATACTATCAACAGCATAGTGATAACCTGACCAACAAGAAGTCAGACAGATTATTAAAGACCATTTTGCTAATTTCAGAGATTCTAGTATTATTCATTAAAGGAAAATTTCAAAAAGTCTTAAATGAATATTAATGTGGGTACAAATAAAAGATAGTTTACATTATACAGATATACCAAGTACTATAGCAGAGAGAGAGAGAGAGAGAGAAAAGAAGGAATTTTATAAATGTAAATAATCTTGGGGTTGTACAAAAAATGACAACATTGAATAATAAAAACATTTTCAGTTTAAAAGTATAATTTATCATAATTTATTTTATTATAAATCTATGCTAACTTAAATATGCTATTATTATGTTATTGAAGGAACTTGCCAAAAAGTGCCCAATCGCTATATGACAGTAAATGTCTGCGAATTATAACTTTAGATTCTGTGCTGACAAGCGGTGGTGAAATACTAGTTGTTGGGGTAATCTCTAACCCATACCTGGATAAATGATAAAGTGTTTCAATATATCATTAAAATGAAAAAAAAGTCACATGCTACTTGAGAAATGATATTAATACCATTAACCATGGCAGTAAAAACCAGGCAGAGCAACAATGAGTCCCCACAATTAAGTCCCCTGTGGATTCAAAATATTCAATAAGGCTGAAAGCTGGTTTCATTGGGTAGAGAGTTTCATATTTCTGGGGAACAATTCAAAACATTGGATCAAGTTAAAACTACATTTTATTGAGTTTGTGTAACATTAAATCACATGAAAATTAAAATTGAAAACTAAAATCTAAATCACTTTAGCTTAAACATCATAGGCCACATCATGGGCCACATCATATCATGGGCCACATCATAGGCAACATCATATACCACATCATATGCTATATCACAGGCCACATCATATGTCATATTATAGCCCACATCATATTCAACATCATATACCACATCATAGGCAACATCATATACCACATCAAAGGCCATATCATGGGCAACATTATAGTCAACATCATAAGCCAACGTCATGGGCCACAACATAGGCCACATCATGGGCCACATCATACGCAACATCATGGGAAACATCATAGGACGCATCATGGGCCACATCATAGGCAACATCATATACCAAATCAAAGGCCACATCATGGGCAACATCATAGGCCACATCATAGGCCATATCATAGACCACATCATGGGCCAAATCATAGGTAGGCAACATTATAGTCAACATCATGGGCCACATCATAGGCAACATCATATACCCCATCAAATGCTATATCACAAGCCACATCATAGGCAACATCATGGGCAACATCATAGGCCACATCAAAGGCCACATCATAGGCAACATCATAGGCCACATCATGGGCCACATCAAAGGCAACATCATATACCAAATCAAAGGCCACATCAAGGGCAACATCATAGGCCATATCATAGACCACATCATTGGCCAAATCATAGGTAGGCAACATTATAGTCAACATCATGGGCCACATCATAGGCAACATCATATACCACATCAAATGCTATATCACAAGTCACATCATATCATGGCCACATCATAGGCAACATCAAAGGCCACATCATAGGCAACATCATATACCAAATCAAAGGCCACATCATGGGCAACATCATAGACAAAATCATGGGCCAAATCATAGGTAGGCAACATTATAGTCAACATCATGGGCCACATCATAGGCAACATCATATACCACATCAAATGCTATATCACAAGCCACATCATAGGCCACATCATATGTCATATTATAGGCCACATCATAGGCCACATCATACACCACATCATAGGCCACATCATATGTTCTATCATAGGCCACATCATATGACAATGTTTACCTGTTTGCAGCCCATTCTAATATTGGATCCCACTTTTCACTTTCCAGTTTAGCAAGTTCTGGTGGCTCTGTTAGTCTGTAACTGTTAAAAAATAAAAGTAAGACTTTCCAGTGCAAGTTAGTGTGACTTTGCAATGATATCCAACGGACAGTAAAAGCAAAACAAGTAATCTCTCAGTTTATTGTAGCAATTTATGACTTCTTCTGTGTTTCAAAATAAGTAAAGGGAATATTGATGAGGTAATGTGATGAAGAGTTAAAATAATCTTACTTATTTATTAATGTTAAAGTAAAGAGAGTTACATATTGTGTCTTCATTTTTAATAATAGAATGTTGATTTAGTGCAGTCAGAGCTCCTACATATCATCCATGACTAAATAGTGTCCTGTAAGACTGAAGCTTATGTAATAAGTGTCCAATATTTAAATAGTTTTTTAAAAAGAACATCAAGCTAAAGAATCTAATTTTTTATAATTAATTAACTGGATACATATTTTAGCTTTAATATCTGATAAATGGTAACAAAATATTTGTTTTTGGCCAAAATTAGCACCATTAAATTTTTTAATTTGAAATTTGTACATTTCTTAAAATCATTGCATCTTTATAACCGTAACAATTTTTAAAAATTGAATAATTTTCAACAGTAAATAGTTTTTTATAAATGGGAGAAATTATTTATTTATTTTTTTTAATTTATAAGGGTAAGTAATTGCAGATATTTACCAAACTGTATCAGTCTCCAAAAAGTGAACAATGCTCTCTGAGAGCTGCTCTCGGGTTTTATGCATTGGGTTTTCAAGTGCCGTGTTACAAAGCACAGTCTGAAAATGTGGGTTGGTTAAAGCAAGCGAACAACAATGTGCTGAGCAAGCAAGAACAAGATCATTTGTAGGGAAATTAGTACAAGATGTAAAAAAAAAAAAAGACATTTTGTTCCACTCATGACTATAACTATATTACTGTGTGTGTTACCATCCCACCCACCGTAGTTGGTAGATTTCCATACTCATAAAATGTTTTGTCTTAATCCTACCACGTGCAGGATTACCCATATTAAGTCATATTTGTAACATATGTATAAATTAAAACAAAGATCCCCAAATGCAAGCACAAAGAAAGAAGCAGTTCTCACCAAATGCATGGTATTTCTGTTAACAACAGATTCTTGAGAATTCCATTCAGTAGCTACAGCCAACGCTAAGGGCTCACTTGGAACTTTGAAGACATTACCTAATGGCGTCCGCAATTTTCTTTTGTCAAGATTTATTTCGTACCAGCCTAGGAATGACATATCAAAGCTAAAAAGTATCATAAATTTTAAATTTTACAATAATTCTACCATATAATTTACAACGAAGTAAGTAGTAATGTTTAAAATATTATTTTAAAATTTTACATATATTCTGGAAGAACATATAAAGATGACCAGGATGTTCCAGCATCGCTATCATTCAATTTAAGGATTTATGGTATGTATGTTTCCTGTCACTTCCATTGACAAAGTCATCAATGCAGAAATGAGGCCATACAATTTTAATAGGTTTATACATATTACAAGAATAAGTCACATCCAAATCTACCTCAAAAAAGCCAAATATTTTTAACAAGGTACAAAAGTTAGTTTTGCCGAGAGGTAAAATTGTACTTATAATATTCATTCAATTTTTGCATTTTTTTAACTGACATATTTGTACTCTGTCTTTCAATTAATATTAAACTAACAGTAACAAGTATACCATTGTTTGTGTCTTTATTCTATTCTTTTTCTTAATTATTTTGGAAAATGTCAGGTCTGCATGACGAACATTGCTCAGCAACTTTTGTAAGCCAGCAACTTTTGTAATTCCACAGCCCTTGTTCAGTAGCATTTATGTATCATTTGAATTACTGCCTCCAATAGTGATGACGCCATACACAGTAGTTCACTGTCAATTAGGAGCTATTATATCTTTTTTACTAAATAAGACAAGATAAGATTCTGTAATTGATACAAACAAATGGAACTGTTTTTTTTTTATATTGCATTGTACATTTTCAGCACATAAATAAAACAATTTGAACACAAGACATCTACATTAAATTATTTCACTGGTGAAAAAAACAGCCATTCAGTGAATTCTCTTAGCCATATCAGGGACTTATTAGTTCTTATTAAGATGTGTGACTTCAGGGGGAGCATGCTGGTAAATTCGTCCAGATTGGGGCCCAAAATAATTTTTATATCTTTCAGTCCTAGCCCTGAGTGAAAGAATTAGTCCGTAACGGGCCAATCCTAAATATCTGTGATGAACAGGGTGTGATGTATCATCAAAAATGTGATTAGTTTTACAATAACATCATCCTTTAATTAGTTCTTCAAGTGAAGGATGTTTAGTTTGTGTTATGTTCCTAGTTTTCTGGATTAGTGTGTTATTCGGTGTTTAATATCAAACTGTGCGTCTATCGAGCTTGTGTCATCAGTACACTACTATACGGGAGCGAGACATGGACCACCTATACATCCCAAGAGCGCAAGCTTAATAGCTTCCATATGAGATGCCTGCGTCGCATCCTTGGTATTAAATGGCAAGAAAAAGTGACTAATAGTGAGGTCCTAATGCATGCGAATATCCAAAGCATGTTCACAATCCTTAGTGAAAGACGCCTGAGATGGCTAGGTCATGTTAAAAGAATGAGTCCCGGCCGCATTCCGAAAGACCTCCTATATGGTGAACTTGCTTTGGGAAAGAGGAAAACAGGTTGCTCACGTCTGCGATTTAAAGATGTCTGTCAAAGAGACATGAAAGCAGCCAAAATACATACAAGTGACTGGGAGTGTAAGGCAAAAGACCGATCTACGTGGCGCACAGTTGTCAAAGAGGGCGTCATGGTAGCCGAGGAGCGAAGAATGGAAGAGGCTGCAGACAGAAGAGCTAGGAGAAAGGCCAAAACATTTAGAAGCACGGAACTCGTGTGTAAAAACTGTGGTAAAGACTGTCACTCAAGGATAGGACTGCACAGCCACTCGAGAAAATGCAACCCAACCAAACTGTGATGCACCATCTTCTCACGAGACGGAAGGATGCTGATATATATATAATATCAGATGATGAATTCCCACACCAGCAGGTAATATTGAAATTTAGTAGGCTTCCAATTGTTGCACTGTAGAATAAGTTAACGACTTGTTTGCTTATGCTGAAATCGTACAGCTTTTTTGAGGCAGAAGAGACTTTGGTTGAATTTTTTATACGGAATTAGGCCGTGCTCATGCCATGTTAGCTTATTATTAAAGGGTGACACTTAGGTTTTATATGCCTCTACTTTCTCTACACTTTTTATGTTGAGATCTGTAATCTGGTTTTTCCCCCTCCTGAAATCAACAGCCATTTCCTTTGTTTTTGAGACACTAAGGTGGAGAAAATTTTAATCACACCAATTGATAAAGCTTGTAACTAAGTTGCGGTATAAACCTTCTGCCTCAGATATTAAGCCAACCATGGTCGTATCATCAGCAAATTTTATGATTGGAAAGGTGTCGCTAAGCTCTGAATAACGTTGGTGTATATTGTATACTGTACAGGGGAGAAAACGCAGCCTTGTGGCACCCCTTTGCTTTTTTCTCTGGTTAAAGATCATTGGTCATTTACCTTGACATATTGTTGGCGATTTGTTAAAAAGTTCAGTATGCAAGCATGAATATTTAAATTTACAACTAACCAGGGGTTTCTTTATTATAAGGTGTGGTTGGATAGTGTTAAATGCTGATGAGACGTCTAGGAAAAGCACTCTGGTATATTTTTTAGGGTTGTCTAGGTGACGGTAAAGTCTCTCCGACAATAGTAAGATAGCATCCTATGTGCATCTGGCAGGTTTGTAAGCAAATTGGTGGGGGTCAAGTTTTTGGTATACTTCATTCAAAATTTGCCTCAGAATAAGTTTCTCAAAACTTTTCATTGCAATAGAGGTACGTGCGACAAGATGTAAGTCGTTGCACGTTACCTTATTTTTCTTTGGAATTGATATGATTTCTGAAGTTTTCCAAATTTTTGGTATTGCAAGAGTTACATAAGATTTATTAAATATGTAACAAAAATTTAGGAGAGCTGCTCTGAGCATAGTTTAATGGGCTGACCACTTAATTTGTCTGGCCCCGAGGCCTTGGCTGCATCCACTTGTTTAAATAATGACATCACTTCTTGTTCAGTGAATAAGAAAGTATCATAAGAAAATGTTGCTCTTATTCTCTACTCCATAAATACACAACAAGTAAACAAAATCTTGAAAATTTCTTACCATCTGCTGTTGCAATAGAAGCATTTTTGTAAAATTTCTTCAATTCTGAAAGCATACAAAAATTAACATTTTAATTCTAAAATTTGATACCACCAAAAAATAATTATTGTTATTGTCTTACATTAGTAATGGTCAAGTTCTTTTCTATGCCATTAATATTTAATCTGGTTAAATCGGAATGAACTACAGTCCCCTTCGCCCCAATCCTCTATCCGGCCACCCCTTGGCAACAACCACTACACTCTTACCCACATGTGCCCCCCTTGTGCCCGCTGCTTGTCAACTCAAAGTTTCCTCTCAAAACCCACTCCCATTGTAAAATAAAACATTAAACCATGACGGCAGAAGACAGCGGCCAACTTGGCATGGGATTAAGAATTGACTGTCAACACAAAAATAGCCGTAGACTTTTGGTCAAGTTCAAGAAAGTAAATCCAGGAAACATGCGGCACTTGGGTTAGCATTATCTGAGTTCCTTGCCAATCATGGATTGAGCGTTTCCATCTAGTTTATGAATTATTTTTTTTGGGGTGTTTAATGTGGAAGAGCCCAGCTTACTATGACATGTTCCATGTAAACTGATTTGAACAAAATAGGTCAAAAGGATGCATAAATCCTATTGGTCTATTCAAAATGACTTTTTCCTTCAATGTAGGATCATTATGGCATCTAACTATAGAATCTGGGCACGATTCATCATTGACCAGTATCTAAGTAACATAGCTATTATGGGAATCATTGAAATATTTATTACCAGTGACAACGTTGTATGGTAGTAACTACTCTGAGAAAATTGCAGTTAAAATCATAATTAAAAATTTGCTTGTGTAATTCTTAGCAAGAGCTGCAGTGTCAGTAAGTGTTCTTTGAATTTCTATTAAACCAGGGGTCTCCAAACTTTTCAGCCCGAGGGCCGCATTAACTATCAACAGCAGTTTGGGGGCCGAATACACACTCAAGATCCAAATAAAAAATAATCAAAACATGGATGTTGTTTTTAATTATTTATGTATTATTATTTCATTCAGTATTTATTTAATAACACATTGATACAGACCTGTTTATCCCCAAACTCTTGAAATTGTACAATATATCACAAAATCCTTCAATAAAGTATCTTGTTATTAAAAAATAAACATAACATACAGTATATATAATGTATACACCTCAAAATCGTACATTTTACGCCAAAATCGTAAGAGTAAACAGGTCTGTTGATACACGACACATGAACATCTGTATTAGTGGGAATTGTGAAATTTTTTCCTGGATACCAAAATAGCAGTGATTAGCAGACATTTCTGGATTTAGATTTGATGTCCCTAACATCAACAGTGACCTGAGATTATCATCGGAAAAATTTGTTATCAAATTGTCCTTCACGTATTTCGTTCTTGAAAATGTTTGTTCACACAGGCATGTTGTTCACACAGGTATGTTGTTCACACAGGTATGTTGTTCACACAGGCATGTTGTCCACACAGGCATGTTGTTCCAAAGTTTAAAAGGTACATTGATGCAAATGTTTTGAAATTAGGAAAGTCTTCCTTGGGCGAAAACTAGTTAAAAACCCACCGGTCCTTCTTTTAACTTGTCCCTAAGGAGGTCGTTTGCTTGCAACTCAATGACCTCCAGCTGCAGTTCATCTGGGCGACTGGCCACATCTGCTTCAGATGGGTTTTGAAAAAGTCTCACTTCTTCTGCCTTTAAATCCAAGTCAGAAAACCGCTGCTGAAACTGCAGCTAGGGGTCTTTGATGATCTCGCATGCAAATGACATGGTGAACTCTGTTGTTGCTTTAGCCATGAAGACCTTGCACTGCTGAAAGTGTGTCAAGTTGTTGGCCTGTACTTGTTCCAAAAAAAACAAGACGAATTTGGATCTGAAGACCTTTAGGTGGGTGTATAAATCAGAAGCCAGATTTTCTTCTCCTTGTAGTTTTAGGTTCAGAAAATTTAAATGACTAGTTATGTCTGCAGCAAAGACCAATTTCCCTGGTCACTCTTCATCAGACACAAATGGCTGTGGCTTGCCTTTACTTTCCAGGAAGTCACCTATTTCCTTTCTTAACTTAAATACCCTGCTCAGAACTTTCTCACAACTTAGCCATCTTATTGCTGTGTAATATGGTAAATCTTCTGATTCTGTGTCTGTATCTTTAAACAGGTCTCTAAACTGACTATGGTTGAGCCAATGTGACCTTATTAATGTAACCCTCTTTACCGCAGGATTCAGTACATTGCTAATGTCCACATATTTAGCAAACAAAGCTTTTTGCTGAATAATACAGTGCATGAACATTGGTTGCAGAATTTTTTTCTCATTAAACATCTGCTTCACTTGTCCAGCCAAGCCTTTCTTTATGCCACTCATGTTATTTCCGCCGTCAACAGTCAGGCAACTGAGGTTAGTTCAGTCCAAGTTAAAATCAGCAAATTTTTTTTTCAACTCATCATTAATAGTTCCGTACATGCTATTTCGGAAGCCAGCTCTTGTGTTATGTTCATGTCTTCATCCACACACCCGCAACAAACACAAGCAGTTAAGAGGTGGAACAGCTGTCCAGCGATTCATCTATTGCAATTAAAAATTGGCGAAACTTGCTTGCATTTTTCACTATTCGAGTCACAATGTTTTCACCCATGTCTGCAACACGGCGGGTAAAGTCCCGCCACTAGATGGCGTTATATATTCTCATTTCATTGACTGTAAATGAAAGTAGAAAACTAAACAGCGAATAAAGTTTTGCAAAGTAATTATCGGTTAGAAAACATAACGAACTACTGCGCACCTCTATTATAATTCAATAAAAACATAACGTCCACGTAAGTGGCGTCTGATCTTGGCAGGATACACGTACATTTCTGTAATTTTTTTCTGTAAACAAAAAGGTGTCCGCGGGCCATAGTTTGGAGACCCCTGTATTAAACAATTAAATATAAATTAATATCACTAACAATTAATAGTATTAGTTCCATTTGAAATTATGCCTATTTATAACTATGGCATGACTTAATTCTAAAATTAAAGCAGGTGTGATATACCATGATTTGTTTTTTTAAAAGAAATATAATGATAATGTACCTTCCCTGTAAATTTGAGACTTTTTCATAAAGTTTTGACAGATGATGATGATTGAGTATTTTTGTCTTTCTGCGCCCCCAAACAATGGAATTCTTTGCCACTACACATCCGCAGTATACCAACCACCCAGGCCTTCAAAACTGCACTCAAAACACATCTCTTTAAATTATACTACCCTGACTGATTCCCCTCCTCTGACCGATAAATGATCCTACTGGCAGCCGTCCATGGTTTGCCATGTAAAAGTTCTGGGGTGGGGTGGGTAAATAGCCATTTGTTTTTGTTGTTTTGGTTACACGCTGTTCTTTATTTCATAAATGTATTTCATTTTAATGTCATGATTATGTCTCTTTTGCTAGTATTTTTATGTACAGTGCGGTGAGCCCAGCCCTAGGCTGGGGTACTGCGCTATATAAGACCACTAATTATTATTATTATTATTATTTTAGCATGCTCACAGCGCTCTGATATCTAAAAATCTATTTAAAGAAAAAATCCTTAAAAATATCTTAATTGACTATGGCTTTCAATTTCCCTCAAAGATTGAGGCAAACTGTTCCACAACTTAGGTGCAATAATGTCAAAAGAGCAAACCGTATGGCTTCTTTCTGTGTCAATACACACTGGGAACTCTCAGTAAGGACTGTGTTGAAGAACGCAGGTTCTGTAAGGATACATGTTTAGAAATCGGTTTTGAAGCTATTCAGGTGCAGAGCTTTCAATACAGCTATATGCCAGGAACAGAATTTTGGGACAATGCACTCACTCACGGGAAGCCAGTGGAGATCTTTAAGAACTGGGTTGATGTGGTCAGATTTCTTTATACTGGATAAAATTTGTGCTGCAGTATTTTGTACCTTATGTAGTCTCGGAATTTCGTTTTTGAGGTAAACCCCACAAACAAATGTTACAGTAATCTAATCTTGATTGGATTAGAGTGACTGCTACAGCACTGACTGTTCTCTAATTAAGTTGAGGATGCAGCTGACCCAGAGCGCAATGTAGACAGAAACAAGCCCTGACCACAGAACTGATATGAAGGACAATTGTAAGTTTACTGTCAGTATAGAAGAAGCCAAGTCTCTAACAGTGTTGCACAAGGGGATCTCAGAAACACCAACTTTTATCGATGCGAAAGAAACCTTCCGAATATTGGCATGGATTAACCTGAATGGACAGGGGTGGTAATTGTTTTACAGAGTTATAGCTTATTCTAAAAACTACCAAAAACGTGTCACAAAATGGGGAGAAAAAATATATTAGTAACATTGGGCTGGGAAAATCAAAACTATCCCAAACTTTAAAAATTCCTAACTTTAAAAGTTAAACTACAATAGTCTATAGAAAACAATAGTTAGAAATTAGGGTAAAAGTGCAGTTCAGGTGCGTATATTATTTCTTAGCGCATTTCGTATTTAAAATTTTTTTTAACCATTTAAACTTACGTGTATTCTTTAATAATTAAATCCAGGCAGTTATAGTTAACTAATTCTAGATTATAAATCGCATCTTTTCTTTTTATTTCACTTCTAAAGAGTCTTTAAACATCCCCCAACCAAAGTGACAGGGCCCCCATTTGTTTGTATTTTTCTTTTTACGCTATGCCAGATTTTTAGCCAGCTATAAGTTAGTAATGCTAAACGAAATTTTCAAACTAAGCATGTTCACAAAAAAGAATGAAATACTAGATTCTTCATTACGCACAAGCGCCCCCCCCCCCCCCCACCAACTTTCTTTTTTCCCCTCTCATAGAGCTCGGAATATACGGGTTGTCCTTTTTGAAGTCGAGTCGGGGGGAGATTAGAAGTGGATCACTGACTAAGCAGTGGACACACACGTCATCATTGTCCTGGACCTGGTGTGAAGCTGATCACCCTGAAGGCTGCTGATACGCTGTCCGTGATTGGTCAGCTCTAATTTGAGCACCCCTCCTCTTTTTTCGTATGCAAATGCGCTTATTACTGGTGACTGATTTGCACTGAGTAAAGTGAGGGCTAGTGATTATTTTTGTTATATTATAAGACGGACTCGTTTTGGCTTTGCGGTATTGCTGGTTGTAGGATCATTTTGTTTAAAATGACAGGACGACCAAGAAACAATAACTAAAATTGTTGATGCAACGGGCATTTTTAATGGTGCAGCATTTGGTTTATACGCGCACCTTGTGTGGCAACAAATAATGTTAATACAACTGTAATTTCTCCTAAGGCGCTCGTAACAATTGCAGTGTGGCTTGTAAGCTGGGTTCGTATGTCAAGTGTGTGAGCTCCCCATAATTACCGGGATCTGCATATCACCCGAAACAGGATCTCACCGTAACCGGTATCCCGCCAGGATCGGTAACCCACTGGATCGGGATCCCACCGAAATCAGGATCTCACTAGGATCAAAATCCTATCAGGATCGGAATCTCACCGAAACGGGATCCCACCGGATTGGGATCTCATTTCCGGGTGCCATCGGAAAACGGGAAAAACGAAAGGTTTACATAAGTTATTTTAATTGTTTTAATAGGAGACAAATTAATTATTATTATTTTTACTATAGTGTTGTTGACATTTCCTTTAATAGCAATGTGAACTAAAAGGACGTAGCAGATGTTTTTTTCTGAATGCAGCCCCGGGCGACTCCGGTTATCGTTGATAGTAAAGTTATAAAATAAATACATCTTTTATTTTAACAAGATTCATCCAATTGGGCAACTTTTATAAAGTATCTTTAAAGACAGAAGAGTTATCCTTGATTTACCACAATGGCTCCGTAAAACACGAAAGATTCATAAAAATGTACTTTTTTGTATTCCAATAAAAAGATGGTATATAACTTTTAAAATACTTTTTATAAAGAATTAACATAAGTTTACACGGGAAAATAAGAGATTCAAACAGAAATAATATACGCACCTGAACTGCACTTTTACCGAAATTAGATTCTGGTGTTATAATTCTTTAAAAAATGAGCTTTCTATTCATTATGATTATGCCATTGGTTTATTTTTACAAATTTTAAAAAAAATCCAAGTACCTACATAATTCATTTACTTCAAAACTTCTTCGCCCGACACCTATTTCAAATCATTTGAATTTCACATGCCCATGGCCCATGCCCATAGCCCATAGCTAGATACTTCGATGAAAGAAGGGAGACTACTATTTTTTTTGTATCGGAAATGGGCGTCGGCGCCGAAAAATCCGAGTTTTTAATTTTCCGATGTGTGTGTCTATTTATTATTAAATTAGTTCTTTCCACATATATTTGAGTTCCGTTTCCGGCCTTATAATTTGGAAGACATCTTGGCCTACATTTCTAGCCAGCTATTTTGCTTTTTTCAATCGACCTTTATTTTGAAAATCTTTGGTATATATAAGGCATCTTCGCATACAAAATTTTTTGTGAAATAATAAGATAAGGTCCTTTTTGATTAAATCTGTATGAGCATTAGATATTGATCTATATCTGTGCCAAGTTTCATTGATGTAGGTCGTGTCTCACGTTTGTTACACTTGTCACAGTGACCCATATCACCATAAGGTGGCTCAGCCTAATTTCGACATGGCGTGGGCCACGCCCCCTTTTTAATGGCGGAAGTTGCCGATACTTAGGAAATATTTAATTATTACCACTATATACATCAAAATATTTTATATTTTGTGTTTCAGAATGCATTTTGAAGACATTTAAACTGGAAATGTTTTAATTTGAGCTTTAAAAACCCTGCAGAGTCCATATTATAAATGATCAGAATTTTCCCTGTGCAACACGTTGTCATTGGCAACCATTCACAGCCACTTGCATAACGGCTACGTTGTAGTACTATCTCAGAGTTTCATTCATAAGAGTTTGCCGTGTGCAAAAGCTATTAAACCATTGGTCAGGGAAAGCTTTTATTAATTATTCATGTGCCAAAGTTGAAAGTTTAAAATAAGTCGACCCTAAACAGTATTTTAGTGATAAGGGAATGCATTGCCTTATATAAACTATATAGTCATTGCCCATGACGCGATCAGTGGAATGAGGTCACAGAATGTGGAGATGCAGTCTATGTTAAAAAAGGACAAACCAAGTCGTACTTTAAAAATTCATAACTTTAAAACTACAACAGCTAAAAATATGATTTTGGTGTTATAATTATGTTTAAAATTAGCTCTATTCAACTGTGCCATTGGTTTATTTTTAAAAAATGTTTACATTTTTGACCAAAGTATCTACCCATAGCCATAGCCCATACTCATACACATTTTGAAGTAGTCTTCATTGCTTTACCACTTTACCGAAGTACCTACCTCTGGGGTTGAAAGATGCATGTCTACATTGAAAATTGCAAATAAAACTCTTTAATCCGTTGGCTGATATAAGAGTAGAACTAGACCATAATTTTGAGTTCACGTTGGGAAGAAATTTGTTTACTAAGGTCGTCGCCATGTTTGTTTCTACTTTTTTATTTAATATTTAATTAAAAGCTCAGCCCAATGACAATGAATATTGTAGAATCTAAAGGACTCTACAAAACAAAAAATAACTTTTTACAAATTTAGGCCTACATTGGTATTACAATTGTATCCACTATTTAAAAAATTAGGCTAATTTATTTAATAATATTTTTTAATATTAATATTGCGGATTATAAGCACATTTATTAAGGATTATTGCCACAATCAAATAAAAAAACAAGAAGATCTTTAACTTGAAAGTTTAGAAACAGAGTTATACAGTATACGTCGGAAGTTTGGAACAATAAAGTTTAATATTTCACTCATAGACTCACAGAGTTTAAGATATAAGACTAACTATAGTCTATAATAGTATAGACAGTCAATCAATCGAATTATTAATCAATTTTAGTTATTAGTTCCATTTCTAGTTGGCAGATGATAAGCTGGAGATAAGCTTATCCGTTGTTTAAGATTCATCTGTTATTTCACTGTTCGACGGAGCTACCTAATAACTAATATGGACGATCAAGATGTGCACATGAATCAAGTCAGAGAAATGAACTTTAGAAATCAAATGACTCTCTCAGAAATTTCAGATTTAGATCCTCCTCCACCAGCTTACTCAAGTTTAATGGGTATCCCTACTACATTATTGTATAATGGCTCCAGATTTCAAGGCCATCAAAAAAGCAAGGGCAACCGCTATGATGTTGAAGTGGTTTTACAGGTAGAATTAACAACACACTGAATTAGACTATCAATCATATGTCATCAGTATATAAAAGATACTGAAGGGGTTAGTTGAAGAGAGTGCCTATTTGTTGTGGGTCTTGGGTTTCCCTCAAAAAGTGTTCTGTTTTTGTTCCTTATCTACTCAAGCTTTTTGTTAGTTATATTATATAAATTTTTAATGGAAAAACTGAATAGTCACTCATTTACTGGGTAGGGTGGTGGTGATAGTTGTTAATTTTATTAATTTAAAACTCTTTATTAAATTTATAAATATAATTGAAATCTAGGCCAATCATAAAGCTCTGTGGTTAACCATGTATTTGGCGTCTATCCTTTGATTTGGGAAAACATTACTAAAGAAAGACAATTTTAATTTTTTTAACACTATTTCTATTATTTTTAACAAAGTTGCAGAAGCCTCTTCCAAACCCAGAAATTTTGCTAGCAGGAATAAATTTAATTATTATAAAAGCTACCCAAGTTATATTGTTTCACTCAGTATTCCAGAACAAAGACTGGATATAATTATGGAGAATAACACATAGAACTATAAAGAACACTGTACTGGTACCCATTTTGAACTTATGGCTTACCAAATTTGAGACCTACTGACATCTTTTAACCCCTTGAAATGTTAAAGGCTAAATATAGTTATGCATATAATTAAGCAATGGGTGATGTAAATCTTTTCCCACTGATCTCCCATATATGTTTACAGGCATAATATTTTCTCAAACAAAATACAAAGCAGACTCATAAAAGAATTTTAAGTACCGGTACCAACATCCAAAAATTTACATTTATTTCATTGCTTTATTTAAAAAAATATTTCTCTTCTGGTGTTTTTTTTTTTTCTTCACAAACATAACAAAGATATTTTTTAACATTTTAGAACATAAAATCTACAAAGTAAAGAATGAAATATGGCACTAGACATAAAATTTCAATTTTAGAATGGAAATAGACAACATTGTGTCAGGTGCTTTAAGATCCATGCCATTAAGTTGTAAAGTGTGCTTTTATTTTTCAGCATGTTGATGTGGAGAAAGCTTTCCTGTGTGGCTATTTGAAAATTAAAGGTTTAACTGATGAATATCCAACTCTGACAACATATTTTGATGGTGAAATTATCAGCAGCAGACATCCATTTTTAACACGGAAGTGGGATGCTGATGAGGATGTTGACAAGAAACACTGGGTACTAAAAAAGATAATAGCTGATCATTGTTTGTAAAGATTTTCAAATGCTAATTTTACACAAATGCACTCAAGTTCATTTTTAAAACAATTTTGTTTTTTAGATTGCTTAGCTGTATTCAATTATTGTATTTAAACTTTTTAAAATGAATTTAAATGTAGTCCTAACAGATATTTAACTCATTCAAGAGCTTTTTATTAAATATTGTATTAAACTGTATAATTAATAAATTGCTCTACCGGTACTGGAAATTATGCATAAAGAATGAAATCAGCGCCGCGTCCCGAGCCAATGCTTATATGCAACCCTGGGAACCCTAAGCCGCAGAAACTCCTCTCTTCCTGAGACAGATGCATGTCAGAGTCCTTCAAAGGGGAGGCACCATGAAACAACCCCCCCCCCCGAAAAAAAAATGTTACACTCTAATGGCTAACCATCCGGCCAACCCCGGAACGCCAAAGGGGGTGGCTTCCTTTAAATTTGAGCCTACAATATAGAGATGGATTTCCTACTGCAGTTAAACATGACCTCCCCTGCCAAGTAATCCTATCTTTTGGCCTTAAGCAATATGTATGGCCCCTTAGTTGTTTGTGTTTATAAACCTCGTCCATTTTCAAAAAGTCCCTTAAAACTCATCTGTTTAGGTCCGCCTATGACCTGTGATGCACCCTCCTTGCCCTACCTCATTTTCTGTTTCGGGTTGATCCTGAAGTGTCAAAGTGTCCTCGTTTTATAGCCATTTTCATTGTTTCTATAGAATAGTAGTTACTATCCTAGTGTCTCATTTGTATTTACTTAGTTTACATGTTTTAATAATTGTAAAGCGCTTAGAGCTTTATGATAAGCGCTATATAAAAATGCCTAAATAAATAAATAAATAAATTACTATTATTTAAAATTGAAGATCTGTCTCTAAAGTGAAAAGTAGTAGTTTCTGTTGTGAAAAAATTGAGATGTGTAATAAAATGTATCCATACTTAACCATGTAGCTACAAAATGTACACATAATTGGTCAGTGTGTACCAATGGAAAAAAAATCTGATTTTAGTATGGATTTCAAGTTGTCACAATTTACTGTTCAAGACGAGTCAGTCCAATTTGATACAGGTCGGATGCTTTGGTTAGCAAATGTTTGAGTTAGTCTGTGATGAGTGTAGAATATGAGGCTAGCAAAATGAGTGATTAATCTGGTCATTGAGGAGGCATAGAGAAGACTCTGTAGGTTAAATAAAAATGTTCCATTTCTATATTTTTGACTGATCATTTCTTGTAAGAATACAATATAAATATGAGCAATTTTATTTTCATTTATTAAATTTAATTTTTTTTCAAATATTTTTCCTTTAGGGCAAATTTGAGTCTTTTAATAATGGTAATTGCGCCAAAAACTTCAACTCTGATAACTTTGATTATGACGCATTGAAAGCATCTGATTTTGTATACATGAGATGGAAGGTAAGGTTATTTTAAGATAGAAATTAATCACTTCATGTCACGATCACCCACTTTCATTTACCAAGGACATCACATTGTGGTCATAACAAAGAGGCAAAGAACTTTTCTGAAATACCAAGGATGTCACGTTGACGTCATAATTTCTTCTTCTTCTTCTATATATTAAGGGCCCATGATCAATTTATTGATCACTTTGGCTCAAATGCATGTGGAGGGGATTTGCAATGTTTCTGTGCCTGGTGTTGATGAGGATATTTCACTGATTGGAAGTGCTACTTTGTGATGGAATCATGCACTGGGGTTTGGAAGGCTTGAGGCAATTGACACAAATGTGTCTAGTGTTGTCGCCTCAACTGTTCCTTTTGAAAGCTTGTTCCAGTCCCTGAGTGTCTTAGGCAGGAATGAACAGTTCATTTACTGGCTTCTTGCTGGTAAGAGCCGGAGTTGCCTGTCATGGCCTCGTTGCTGTCTATGGAGGAGAGGGACGAGTTTCTGTTCACTACTGGAACAGTGGACCAGCCTATTATTTATCTTGTACATTATGGAGAGCCTGTATAGTCGTCGTTCCTCCAATGGTGACCAGCCTAGTGTTTCCAGCATGCTGCCAACACTAGAGGTATTCCTGTAGCGGTTCAGGACAAAGCATGCTGCCCGTCGCTGGACCACCTCCAACTTGTCAATTCTCTTCTGGGTAAATGGGTCCCAGACTGAAGATGCATAATCTAAAACCTGACGGACAAAGGCTTTATATGCTCTTTCTTTCACACAGGAGTTGCCAATCTTTAGATTACGCCTTAAGAACCCCAAGGTTTTGTTTGCCTGGTTACATACATTGTTAATATGCTCGTCCCAGCGACCTGTCTTTGAATGGTATCACCCGGGTACTTTATGGAGGGAACCGGTTCAAGTATATGGCCATGCAGTTTGTAATGTTAGTGTAGAGGAGTACAACTTCTAGAGACTGATAGTGTCTGGCACTTGGCAGGGTAAAATTCCATGTCCCAGCTCATCTCCCACTCAGTTAACCTATTGAGATCCTATTGTAGCTGGTCCTGGTCAGATCAGTTGGCGATTGTCCTATACACCGCTGTGTCATCTGCAAACAGTCTTGCTTAGGATGTCAGTTTCTCAGGTAGGTCATTAATGTTTGCTAGGAACAAACAAGGGTCTAGCACTGATCCCTGGGGGACCCCTGACTTCACGCCGACAAAGGAGGAGCTTGTACCGTCCACCACTACTGCTTGGCATTGGTTGCTAGAGATCTTTGTTTTAGTGGAGCCTTGGATCCCATATCTCTGAAGTTTTCTGTAGAAGAAGCAGACTGATAGACAAGGTCAAATGCCTTTGAGAAGTCCATCACCAGCACGTCAGTTTGCTTGTGGTTCTCCAGATTGGTCATCAAGTCTTCTACAAATTCAAGGAGCTGGGTCTCACATGATCTATTGACTCGGAAGCCATGTTGACAGTCATTGAGTATGTTCTGTCTTTCAAGATACTTCATGACTGTGCCTATGATTATGTGCTCCAACAGTTTGCAGAACACGCTGGTGAGGGATATCGGACGATAATTGGCAGGGTTGGAATGCTCCTCTTTCTTGTAGATTGGAGTGACATGCGTTGTTCTCTTGTAGATTGGAGACCACATGCTTTATAGGGGTTAATGGTTTTGAGGAGGGCAAGCACACCCTGCTCTGATATCTGGATATCTTCCATGATAGGGTAGGCTCTGTTCATCTTTTTGGTCTTCAGAAGGAACTCAGCCTCCGAGTACTCTCTCCCGTCACCAAAGACTGACTGGAACTGTTGATTTAGTATGTTAGCCTGTGCTTTTGGGTCAGATGTCAAATGGCCATCCCACCTCAGGGGGGAAACTGCAGCGTTTGAGGACTTTTTAGTGCTTCACATAGCACCAGAAGCACTTGTTCTTGATTTGTTAATTTATAGAGAAGTTAATAAGCGAATCAGATAGAGAAGGAAAAAATACCAGAAGTTTCTTCTTTAAGTATTTTAATTGCTGAGTCAGCAATTGATGCCAAAACCAGCAATAATTAAAGGGTTAAAAATGTTTCTATATGTAAATTGTATGAATTTATTCAAGTTAAAATAGCTCTCATTTCAGTGAATTTTTTTCATGACAGTTTTTGTGTGCGAAAGTAGCTTAAAAACTATTTTAGCAGTGTACCTATGCTTTATCAAGTTAGTAAAATCCTTCTGAAAATATTTGGTTATGATGTAAGCACTTTTCCACAGGAACACTTTCTTGTACCCGACCATACAATTAAAGATATAAGTGGAGCTTCGTTTGCAGGATTCTATTACATATGTTTTCAGAAGTCAACTGCCACAATAGAGGGCTACTACTATCATAGAAGCTCAGAATGGTAAATACATGTGATAATTATCAATTTTTTATTATAGTATAGTGATAAAAAAACAGAGACTTAAAAATTTGTTGCCAGTTTTTCAATGGCAGCCAAAAATAAATCTTTTTTTTTCTTTTTTTTTTAAAATTATGTGCACTATTAATATTAACATCTATGCATCAAAAATCTGCTTTAAAGTTGAAGTGACAATAATAATGAAATTACTTTTTTGTGTGCTAATAACACCCTTGCTTATATGCAGTACCGGTAGTTGAAAAATTATATGAATGCAGTTGCTATTTGATTAGTCTCAAGTGTTAATTGATTCATGTGTAGTGCAGAAAATTGTTTGTTATTTTGCTATAAAATATCATGGGTGGTCGAGTGGTGTAAACTACGTCAATCCCAAGGTTGTCATCTGGAGTTCAATCACCACCAAAAACCAAGTCGAGCAAAAACAATACCAGCACCCCGGGTGGATGGAACCCGTTTACCTTGGATGGCAACTCATCTAAGAGTTAGACAAGGAGACTCTGAATCAAAATCCGGAGAGGGAGTCCCATCGGTGGATACATTAAATAATACAATGAAAAATTCTGACAACTCCTGGGACGCAACTGGTCTCAAGCTGTGTCATCCACATAGGGTGTTCCCTTGGGCTAAACTGGTGCATGGAGAGAGGCAATTTGAGGTGTAGGGAAACATCTTATAGTTCTATAGAAAAAAATCCCAGTCCTTGTGATTTTGTTCTGTGAAGTCTATACCATCGTCACATTGTGACGGACAGATGCCAGTAATAAAAAATATCATGTTATTTATTGTTGTAACTTATTTTTTTTAAACTTATGTTGAATGAATTAATTTTTTAAAATACAAATTCTCTTTCCAGGTTTCAGTCCTTAAATTTACAACATGTACAAGAAAGAAATACAGGCGTTTATGAATTCAGATGATGGGTAGAGAAGCTGAGAAATGCACACAGCTTGTGATCATATTCCATCTAATGGAGCAATTTAATTCTTGTTATATTTCTTGGAGAAATTATAGAAGTATTTCCTTGACAAACTTTGTAATATCTCCCATTGAAGTTCATTAAAAATTCTTCCTTAAATAAACTGGTATTAATCACTCTTAGAAACATACATCAGCTTAGCAAAAGTATTTCTGAGATTAAAAATGAGTAATCTTTCTTGTAAGTTTGCCGGCAAGTAATTTCAAGGGAGTCAATGGAATTTCCACTTAATTCTTCAATTCATTTTTTTCCTTTTGTTTTTAAGACTCCATGACAAATAAATTGTTTAATTCTTCGATTTCAAGACTAAGAGTGTTCCAACAATCTAGTATTAAAGGTACTTTTATTTTCTTTAATAATATTCACATAAAGTAGACTCTTTCTATATCTATTTTATAGTGCTCTTTTAATTGTTCGGCATCCATGAAACCTATTTTATGTTTTTATTCAAGAACTGTCATAAATAGTTCTAATGACTAGATATCTGTCAACTTTGATACACCGTAAGGAGGAGAAATTGTTCGATTTTTGCTGTGACTTCCTTCTCATGATTTATACACTTGCAGATTATGTAGTATTGCACTACAAAAGAAAAGTTAATAAATTTTATCTGCACTTTGTTGAGATGCTATCTGTGATTCCTAAGCCGCTATTGTCACAACTGTTAGACACTGCACTCTTAAGTACATATTATTAGAAATTTAGATCTCAGGGCCTGCCCAACCATATGGTGAAACATAAGAGCTTTATAGCTGGTTCTATAAATTTCTCTTTATTTTTAAAAAAATGTTATTCATGGCATTAAGAGACATGCAATACTTATCAGATTCTAGCATGAGTGGGTCATCTCTGTTATGAAGTTAATATATAAATATTTATTACCAATAAATTTTAAGTTTTTTAAAATATTTTCAGTAAATCTTTAAGGAAGACATGAATGAAGTATTGTCAAAAATTGTTGCAAGTATGCTAAGCACACAAATCTTTTTCTTTTTTTTTTTTTTTTTAAACTTCAAAACTGAAATATGTTTTCATTTTTGCAAGGACATGGTAAGTTATGTTTTAATTTCACCTTTATTTTTGTGTAAATATATTATGAATTCTGTTTCCAATTTATAAGTGCATGATAGCTTTTCCAGTCATTAAAAATTATATTTTGACAAATATTTTATCCAATCTGTTGCTAGATATCCAATACTGAGTTTTATTGTAGAAGATCGTTTGTTCTATTCAGAAGTAAGTTTTCATGAGATTTTTTTCTTTTTTTTTCAACACTGAAAAATTTTTTCTTTTCATACCAGTAGCAAAAAATGACTATAACTTACGTAGTAAGGTTAGGTAATAGTAAGAAAGGGACATTAACTATGGTATATATTATACAAACCATAATTTTGTTTTTAAAAAAAATAATTTGGAAGAGTTAAAATTTAAGATATGAAATTTCTTGAAAAACGCAGACTAAATTAAATCTGAATTAAATTGAAATAATTGTGATCTGATATGGGTTTTTCCCTTCCCAACTTTTTTAAAGAATGTTCTTCCAAATTAATTCATTATAAATTAAATACCATGCAGATATTTGATATTCAGGGATTATTCTTGAAAACTTCCTTGTTCCGTTTTAAAAAAGAATTTTAATTATTATTATTGTATCGATAAGTTTTACCCCCTTCATAAATTCACAGAAACCTTTCTGTGTAGTCTGCAGTTAGTTTGCATCAGCTGAAAACATCATCGTTAAAACATCCACCATTCTTAAGACTTAAGGGCATAATGAATTATATTCGTCAAGACAGGTGTAGCTTCTAACCTCCAAAGACAGTAAATCATTTCAATATTTGTTTATGGCATATGATTATCACTGAACCAGAATTTAAAAATTCTTTCAATAATATGGTATGATGACAAATAACTATAGAAAATCAAATTCCTGGCGATTTAAATGGAGGCCGCATACCACTTACTAAATACTTGTGTGAAACATTACACCATTTTTGATCAGGAGATTTTTATTTGACCATTGTGTTAAAAAAAAAATCCTCAACGTCTCTGTACTCATTTAGATCAAAACTGTACTCATTGTTAGGATCAAAGACAACGTAGCTTTTAAGTTTAATGAAAATAATTTGTATGTGGGTGCATGTTTAAAACTTGTAATCGGGTGCTTTGTTATTGGCTGTACTTCATGAGTCTTTTTTTTTGTTAGTCAAGACATAAGTCTTAGTTTCAATCAATCCTGTGAAATATAAGGTCCCATGAGAGTGTATTATTTTTGTTTTAAGGAATATATTGAAAAAGAAACTAGAAATGAACTATTTTTATGCTTATTTCTGACAGGATACTACTGCTATTTTCAAAGAATGAAAAAAATCAGCTTGAATGTCAATTCAGTTTTAGAAAATCCTGCTAAATTTATTACAAATGTAAAAGATTTTAAAGTGCATAAATTTTAAGTGATAGACTTTAAATTTGTATATATTATAAATATTCAACAAATATGTTGTATTTATTATCTCAGCTCACAAATAAAAAAACAACTAATTTGAATTGTGTTGGATTTATTTATAACAATGTATGCTATGTATGGTCCTGAATTGAAAACTAACTAACTTTAATTTTGTCATGTAAACATTACATCTCTTCACCAATGATATTAACAATCTAGGCCTGTGAATGTTTTCCATTTTTTATACTCCATTTCCACGATATGTTGTGGAAATAGTGTATTTTAGAGTTTATAAGTATCATTGTCTATTTTATTTTTAAAGAACATAGAATTTACATAACATTAATATAATGTTAGAGCACTGAATCATAAATGTTTGAAAATTGTATGAAAAAATCACAAATAATTTGAAGTTGGTTGAATTAAGTAAATAAAATAGAAGAACAAGGTATGTTGAAGCTTGAATCAAAAGATAGGACAATCAGATGTGAAAGTTTTGGCTTTGACTTTGAGCCTTCTTCGGCAAACAGGATGAATGAAAATACAAGAAACAAAGCACAGTAAAAAACATAAGAGATCTCCTTTGTTGATGCCGGAAGTAGGATTACAGGAAGTGAAAAATATAAATATTGGTACTGTGAAAAATAAAGTTCCAGAATCTTAATGGACCAAAATATTTAGAATACATAAAATCTAATGAATAAGAGCAAATACAGGGAAATTGAGAAACATTAGTACCGGTAGGCCGGGTAGGAGAATATTTGAATTTGATTAATACCATATGGTGCCGAAAAGCTGAATAAATTTGTTTTTCATTTTTACTCTCTTTAGTGTGTTGAATTAAGTATCAAGAGTTCGCTTAGGGTGAGAAACCTTGAAATTTATTTATTATTATTATTATAAATAGTTTTATATAGCGTGGTACCCCAGCCTAGGGTTGGGCTCACCACACTGTACATACAATTTAACAAACTTTAAAAATTAATTAACATACATTAATTAAATAAAACAAAAGTATATTTAAAACTATTTACATGTAAAACCATTGACGACACCCAGCAGCATCGTTTTTCGGTCAGAGGTGGGAATCAGTCAGGATAGTTGAGTTTAAAAAGATGTGTTTTGAGTGCAGTTTTGAAGGCTGTGATGGTCGGTATAATGCAGATGTGTAATGGAAGAGAATTCCATTGTTTGAGGACACAGAAAGAGAACAATCGTTCACCATATGTTTTTGTGCGAGTCTTGGGGACAGAAAGAATACGCTCGTCGCAGAGGAGCCAAGCTGTCGAAGGGGTGAATAGACAGAGAGAAGTTCAGTTAGATAGGAAGGGGAGGAATTCGAGAAAAAGTTGTGGCAGAGAACAGAGAGTTTGTAGTCAATCCATGCTTGTACAAGGAGCTAATGAAGTGAATGAAGTAGTGGTGTGACGTGATCACGTTTTTTTGCCTATAGAATTAGCCTAGCTGCTGAGTTTTGAACCTTTTATAATTTTTCTAAGAAGTGTTTTGGTGAACCTGATAGAAGAGAGTTACAATGGTCAAGACAAGAGAGAACAAGAGCATAGACTAGGGTTTTTGTTGCCCTAACTGTGAGGTAGTGGCGGATGGAGCTCATCTGACGAATAGCGGTGTATTCAGAGCAACAAATGTGAGAGATATGATTATCGAGAGACATGTTAAAATATAACCAACATTCTTAGTGGAGAATGTTAACTGTATGTCGGAGTTACCTACATGAAATGAAGTGAGGAGAGTAGAATTAGAGGATGATTTGTGATCGTGAATAAGGAGTGCTTCCGTTTTGTCATCGTTAAGCTTCAACTTGCTGAGTGTAATCCGTGTCTTGACATCATTAATGCTCTCCCGCAAAGTCCGGATAGCAGAATAGACAAGAGAGGGATGGGTATGTTTGTATAGCTGCGTGTCATCTGCGAATGACTGGCTCTCCACAGCATGCCTCCCGAGCAAGAGGAGCAGTGGCCTGATATACATTATGAATAGTACCGGGCCCAAAACAGACCCCTGTGGCACTCCGTACATTAAGTCAGCACTGCCGGAGATAAAGCCATTGACAGCGGCCGCCTGTGTTCTATCAGAGAGGTAGGACCTAAACCAAGCTAAAACTGATCCCGAAATTCCAAAGGTTTTGTAAAGTGTTTCATGGTCAACAGTGTCAAAGGCAGCACTAAGGTCTAAGAGGATCAGGATGGAGATATCACCACTGTCCAATGCGAGCAAGTGGTCATTGGTGGTGATTCTCAAAAACAAGACCTGACCTCAGCCACTTCTTTCCCGCACTATGCCGCTCTTTCTTGGCACTGCGTAGTTCTTCCCTTATAGTGGCATACCAGGGAGCCGACCGTGCTGACCTAACACTCTTGGTCAAGCACAGTGCGCAATGTACTGTCTAGTGTTTCCAAAGTAGGGCAGAGGTTGGGGGACACTTCTAAACTCAGATCGTGCTTAAATGCTTCCCTATTTATAGTATGCACACCGCGGACCTCCCTGAACTGATGGAGAGGAGAGGGGGTACTAACGCTAAGCTCACAAACACACAAGTGGTCTGAGGACAGCTCCTGGGCAATGGAGGCATAGGTAACTACACCATCCCGAGGCTTATGTAGCCCCCAATCAATAACATGTCCACGATTATGTGTTGGTTGGTCGACTGATTGCTTAAGACTAAATAAGTACAAAAGATCCATCATCTTTGCAGTGGAGGGGTTCTGTGGCTGGTCAAAGTTCATGTCGCCTACTACGATATAAGTGCCAGCCAATGTGTTGCTATAATCCAGCAGATCCGGGAACTCCCGATGAAACACAGCATCAGTTAGTTTATTTTTCCTGCTAGGACAGATGCGATAAATGCACATAAAATGAACGCTCTGCTGGGGCACTGACAAGGGGGGGGGGGGGGGGGGGGGGGGGGGGGGGGCGCAGCAGCTTGTTGTGGTTTTATAATGAATCAAAAAGAGACAAACTACAAGAATTGTGTAACAGTAATATTTATTTATTATTAATATAAATAAACAAAGCTTATGTTGAGAGGATAACAACTTGAATTGTGGTAGTAACGGTATTTAAAATGTGTTTCCCTGTAAAACAGGAAATGTGTATATTAATCTAGTGGGGTGTTTTTAAGATCTTTTATATTAACTTCGCTTTTGTTCATGGGTGGCTGGCTGGCAAAATCTTCGGACTGCTAATTGACCCACTTCCCTTCAACCTATTGAGCTAAAACTTGGCACATAGACTCAATGCTGATTACAACATACTCTATCAAATTTTCAGCCTCACTTTCAAAAATCAGTTTTTCAAGGGAAAGATATATAAAATTCCTGATAACTGCGCTCAGATTCTTTTATTTTAAAATATTGCAAGTGCGCAACATTTTCTTTGTTTTTTTGAAATAGTTGGTGAAATAAATCTGTGGTGTAAAAGAGGGTGGGTCATTAGACTATTAATGTAGTGTGAATAAAATGTGCAGTTGCAAGCCTGCATGGGGGGGGGGGGGTGGGGGGGGGGCGAACCTATTGGAATTCTTATAAAGTGCTTTACTTAAATACATGTTTTGTCAAAATGTTCAGCCCCACTCCCCCCATTGTTTGCTATGACATTTTATAAAGGATTTCTACAAATAACTTTTTCTTAGGGGTTGTTCAATTTAACTTGCTATTTTTTTTTTTAACATTATTATTCTCCTTAAATAAAATTCTCCAAAATTGTACTATTAGCACTATCAACATGCTATCAGTATCAACAGGTAGCACTATAACTCTTCAAGCCAGTCAGTGGCGTAGCTAGGGTTGGTGTCACCCGGTGCGGTATACTCATGGTGTCACCCCCACCCCCCTAAACTTCTATGATCTATTTTTTCTTGTTAAAATAAGTCCACAGTATAGCATCAACCTTGAACTTTTAATAAAGCACACATTAGGATTGGTTACATTTGTGAAAAATATATGTGTGATCGGTTATTCTTTTATGAATCTCGGTTTTTGCTAGCAATGTGTGCCCTGTAAATATGCAATTTTTCAATCGGGTGTCACCCCTAAAATGGTGTCACCCAGTGCGGTCCGCACCTGCCTCGCTACGCCACTGAAGCCAGTCTATAAAATTTTACATTATCATCGGGTCATCTATAATGCCATCTCACAACATAATAGTTCTTTTTCCCTGGAATGAAACAAATTATGAATTATTACATCACTGAGATGATGAATGAACATACACAAAAAAGCAACTACTTACTTTATAGCTACTTTAATAGTCTTAGAAGATTTGGAGTTCCCTTTTTGTAGAAAAGATCTTCTCTTAGTCTTATATGATTTAATTTGCCTACTACAAAATATATACAACAAAATATATATTAACTTTAAATATTATGGACCTTATCTTTTATATCTATGGGAACTATCTATTCTGAACGTTGAATAAAAATAAAATTTGTACTGACCAACTCTGATTAATGTAATATTATTATGCAGAATATGCTCTCCATCCCTTAGTACATAATCAGGTTCTGTTACTCTTTGTTGGTTGATATAAAGCCCCCCTGCTTTAATGATGCGGACTGCGTCTTCTGAAACAAACAAAATATTTCAGTTGAGTGAAAGGGATTTTGAAACCAATTAAGCATTTATTAATTGACTAGAAATTTGTTTAAAACGGTATTCAACTCTGAACACTTACCAACACGTGAAAAGCATTTAATTTGTTGACACAGATCAAAAACAGTGAGCTCTGGATTATAAATAATTTCTGACGTAGGGGCATTTCTGAAGAGCTGCTGGAGCTCTTGAAATGTCATCTGAACAAGGGCAGGTATTGCATCTCCGAATAGGATCTCTGTACACCTTAGCGCAGAGTCAATGCCAGCTTCTGAGTGATAAATATTGACCAAGTCATTGGAAAATAAAATTGATGGCATCAGCTTGTCACTAAAAAAACAATTGTAAGAGAACACAGTGTCCTTAAAGTCTTTTATATCTATACTCATTTGAAGTTATGTTTTAAATTTAAATAATTAATATATTGCTTGAATGCTCTTAATACTAATGGATTTAATTTCACCTATAATTTGCTAAATCTAATTCTCATGTGTTTTTTACCTCCATGAACTAGAAGTGTTATCTGCTCTGCTAATTTTTTCTGACCATGTCTTTGATCAGGTGCTCTCTGAGAAATAAAATATTATCCCATATTTAAACCTCATTTCCATAGTGTTTGTAAAATATTTATAAAATAAGATTGCTTTCTTAATTTATATGAAGGAACATTTTTAAATGGAATACAAGGACAACATAATTATTATTATAATTAACAATTTTAACAACTAAAATATTTTAACATTATCATTAACAAACGCCAGCCAATGTTATTACAACCAGACTTTTGAGTGAAAATACTGACTTAATAAACCATTTTTTCTTTTCTAACTTACATTTTGCTTGGTCATAATGGCTTGTATTTCCTCCATTGGTAAAAATGTAAAAAGTTGTAGATATTTTTCAACATCTGAATCAGGCAGGTTAAAGAAATGCTGGAAACAGGATAGTAACTGCATGATTTTTCAGGTAAATTTCATGAGTAGTGCCACCTTATTATTATTATTAAGGTGGTTTTATATAGCGCAGTTCCCCAGCATAGGGCTAGGCTCACTGCTCAGTACCCCAGCCTAGGGCTAGGCTCACTGCTCAGTACCCCAGCCTAGGGCCAGGCTCACTGCTCATTACCCCAGCCTAGGGCTAGGCTCACCGCTCAGTACCCCAGCCTAGGGCTAGGCTCACTGCTGGGATGGTCGGTACATTGCGGATGTGTAATAGGAGAGAATTCCATTGTTTGGGGGCACAGAAAGAGAAAGATCGTTCACCATATGTTTTAGTGCGTGTTCTGGGAACAGAAAGAATACACGTTTCTGTGGAGGAACGAAGCTTTCGAAAGGGTGAATAGACAGAAAGAAGTTCAGTATGATAGGAAGGGAAGGAACCAGAGAACAGACAGCTTGTACTGGTAATCAATTATACAGTTTCAGTTATGTTTTATTAATAATATTCTGCTCTAGTGAAGTAAATTACATTTTATATGAATTGGAGCATTTCATTCCATTAATAAAAGAACATTTTAAAAAGCAATAACCTAAGCCCCATCTTTGTTGTAATGTACAAAATGAAGTGCAGAGACAATCTAACAACATATTAACACTCCACAAACAAATCAAATATTTTTCATTTATTTTTTTAATACTATTTATCATGAATTAATGCATACCTGGTAAAGTTCATATGGTGATGTCTTGTTTGGATTCAACCACAAAGAGTTGCCTGAGGATTTCCCCAACTTTTCCCCACTTGCGGTTAACAACAATGGGACTAATAAGCCTATAAATAAACCAATTAAAGACATAAGACTTATAATTTAGCAATGGGATGTGACTCAATATTATGTTAAATTAAAGATCTTCAAAATATATTGAACCAATAATGATAACTAACATAGCAATGGCAGAAAAAAAAAAGCTTTCAAGTGCCTAAAAATCAAGGTTTTAAAACTACTTACCAAATGCATGTTGTTTTGTCACTTTGTTGATGAGGTCAAACCCAGCACTAATATTGCCAGTTTGATCATTACCACCCACCTGGAACAAAAAAATTTTTTTTTAGCTAATATGAAAAACAAACATACATTAAATCTTTGTGGGTAAAATTAAATGGCACTTGCGGCAATGGCAAAAAAACATAACTTCTATTAGTTTGTTCTGTGGGAGCTGTCTGCTGGGTCAGGTTTCTATTCAACAGATTCTTCTCTTTTGTTCTGTTCTCTTTGGGTCTACCAGGTTTTTTTCCTGAGAAGCGAGCTTGAAGGCCGTCTACAGACATGCTCAAGCCATCTCCACCGAGGCACCTTTACAATTTCTGCAATGTTTGTCACTCTCGATCTGCTAATCAGTTCTTTATTAGAGATTTTATTTAGGCAGAGGACAGTCAAAACATAACTTTAAAGATACAAAAATGATTTAGAGGCCTGGTTGCTAATCTCCTTATGAATGTCAACATTCCTAATGCCTGATTTACATTGCTAAACCTCGTGTGCCAGTCACTAATTGTTGTGACCTTTCTACCAACGTACCGGTACTCACCCTTAAGATGTGTCTTGGAACAGATTTGTTTTAAAAATAACAAAGAAGTGGTCTTAAAACTTTAGACAATACAAATTAAATTTTGTGTACATTTTTAATGTAAAGGAAAGTTTGTTTTTTTTTGTTTTTTTACCTGAATGGTACAGTTGTAAGTTTGAAATAAATGTAGCCAGTCATAGGCCTGAAAAACTTGATACATAAATTCAGTGCAGCTGATTCCTTCTTTGCTGTTGAGCCGACTTTTCACACTGAAAAACAACATGTTTATAAGACATTGTGGTCCACATTAGGTTGGCCAATCCACCATTGACTTCACAATTATATTCATCACATGTGCAGTGAAAGATGATTCAGTGGAGATGTTAGCCTAGTTAATTTAGTATTTTTGTGTCACATGGAATATATGAAATTTTTTAAAAAGTGAATGCTTATGAGTATTTAAAAAAAATAATTAATACCCATTTGTATTAATTTTATTACTATGTGTGTATTATCTAATCTTTTCTTTCTTTAAACTCTCAACATTATAATATGTTCCTGTGTCTAGAATATAATCCTCTTATTTACATTATCTATGGGACACATTTTTTTTTTGCAATAGATCTTTTAAAAATCAAGTTTAAATGATAACCAAAAGCTGGGAAACTTACCTATGCTTGCTTATCATCTCTCCAACTCTGAAATGTCTACCTGTTGTAGCTAAAAATGTGATTATATTTTGGTGTAAGTACCATTGTGAGTTATTGAGTATTCTGGAAGAGAAAAATATGACATAAAGTGTCAAAATACATACACATGATCCTAATCAAATATTTTGTTAACTTAAGTAGTGATTTCAAAATTTTTATAGTGTTATCAGAAATTATTTTATTATTTTTTTATAGAAAAAATACAAGTTTATCTACAGAAAAAATGATAGAGCTGATGCTTTTTTTAATGAGAAAAATTATTCAATAATAAAGAGTTAAATCCTTATTAATAGTAAACAAAAAAATCACCTGAAATCTGGTAAAGGTTTTATTCCCTTGTAAATATATTTCTTGTGATTATCAACAATACATTCAACATTTTTCATAAGAGCAATTATGTTGTTTTCTACATCTTCTGCCTTCATGGGTACACGATCAGTATTTTTGCCACTGGGATCTCCTATGAGGGCTGTAGCACCACCTATCTTAACATGAGTGTGGGAAGATAAGTACAACATTTTAAGAAAAAGTGTCATAAATTCGTTTCAGGCTAAAATGTTCCTTTGATATAGCACTGCATTCTGATGATTAGACAGATTTTTGCTTTAACTTGTAGAGTTAATGAAGAGGGCCCAAACAAAAAGACTCTTGACCACAAACATGGCACATGTTGACTAGATTTAGGATACTGATTTACTAGACTTTTTTCTTCTAGACAAGCTATGAACATTTCATATGAGCTACTTACCACTGCAATAGGGCTGTGTCCCGCTCGCTGGCCATGCAAGAGCGCTATCAGGGAAAGCAAATTACCAATATGTAAACTGTCAGCTGTAGGATCATATCCACAGTACAAAGACTGTGGACTAGAGAATAGTCTGAGCAAATCAGGGATTCTGAAGCAGAATAAACATTTGAAAGCATTTTTTAAAAAGTTTTTTTTACTGATAACTTATAAAAATTGTGTATACTTACTGACATTTGTAAGTTATTGTAAAATAAACCAAGACCTTGCTAGCAAATAATGTACCTTTGATCAGGAAATACACTTTCAATCAGGCCTCGCTTATTTAGCTCCAGCATATTCATGGGGGATGTACTTCCATATCTAGTACAAATGTCTAAGCTGAAAATATATTGAAATAAACAAGCATTGAACTGATAAAATCTGAAAGCAAATTAGATGAAAGAGCTTGGTAAGAACAACTAGTTTGTATAATGAGGAAATACAGTCTGGCACATTTAATTAATTTTTATAGCAATTATCTAATTTAATATATTGTAACATTCTTTAAAATTTACATAGGTCTAGTATTTCATTTGACAAATATATATACTGTTAATGTGTTGGTATGAACCTATCCAGGTAAAAGGAGGAGAAGTAGACAAGTAAGAGCAATTTAAAGAAGGCTGCCAACATTAGTATTAGTTAAGTGAGAGGAGGCTTTGCTGGTGGCCTTTTAAAACAAGCATCTTGAAATAAAATATTCATAAATCAATTCAACTGGGTGCACATCGTTAGGGTGCACAGCTAAGTAAATTGCCAGATTACCTATGTAATCTGCCTTGCTATATCAACCCATTATAGACTGTGCTAAACTGTATTGTACTTTCAAGTGCATAATATAATTAATTGTAGACATTTTATTTTTATTTTAATCACAATTTTTGTAGCACTACTACACTCAGTTGTCCGGAGTAAGAGTTTAACATCTAGAGAGCATTTTCTGATACCCAAGCACAAAGGCAGATAAGCCAATCAGTAAAAGGGAAGATTAATAGATGCACCTTTTGTGTGCAGTCTGTTCCCAAACATGGCTTAAAGTCTAAACAAACTATTTCATCCATATTCATTCATTAAGCATTCAGTCCTCTTTTTTTGGACTCTGTGCACTAACTTGATCTGGTGTTTTAACTTAAAATTCAGTTTGGTAATGAATTTTTAGAATAAATATAAATGAACATTGCAGTAATTGCATTGATTGAATGTGTTGTAAGTAAAAAAATATATAGTAAAAATATACATATATATATTCAGATCATAATTAAGTCTAGGGCCCCTTAAAAAACAAATAGAAATTTATTTGAATGAGTGAAGTGGACGGCTAATCCTAGTTATGATTGCCACGACTTTTATTTTCCATGTTTACGTGTGGGAGTTAGTTCCCTTTGTTTATTTTTAGACAATTTATATTTTATGAGTTAGTATTAATGCGCCCTAGGTATATTTAATATTATATTGATTATGTTCGTTTTGTGTGTTTATTTTCATATAAATGATTAAAATAAATGTAATTTGTAAATACAAACATACAATTTTATGTTCTTTGTTGAAAAAATGATGAGAAATCTTTATTTTTTTATCGGGTACTTTATAATAATGCTTACTTAAAGAGAAAGGAGTGCTTAAATGTTACGTCTGTTGCTATTATTGATTGCTTGACCGGGTGCCCGGTAAGTTCAATTTGTTAAATTTTTTGGTAAATTTATGGAGATGGAGCCTGAATTTACTACCTGTTGGGATCGATTTAGGGTTCAGGTTAGGCAGAGGGATAGATTTAGGGTTCGGGTTTGGCATAGGGATAGATTTAGGGTTTGGGTTAGGCATAAGGATGGATTTAGGGTTCAGCATAGGGATAGATTTAGGGTTCGGGTTAGGCATAGGGATCGATTTAGGGTTCGTGTTAGACACTGGGATCGATTTAGGGTTTGGGTTAGGCATAGGGATGGATTTAGGGTTCGGGTTAGGCATAGGGATCGATTTATGGTTCAGGTTACGCATAGGGATCGATTTACAGGTGTTTATTTCATTTAATTTGTATACTTTTTTATTTTGGGAGTGGGGCTGATTTCAAGGTTTTTATTTATATTTCTTAAATATTTTTTTTTAAAATTTACCCCTTTTTTATATTTTTTTCCATTTTTTTAAAACATAAAATTTCAGTTAAATGCTATTAATTCTATTTTTAAAAAAAAAAAAATTTGAGTTATTTCTTTAAAATTCACTTATTTCGCTATTTTCATATCTTTCAGTATTTAGTTGAATTTACACATTTTTCTCCCTCCCCTTCCTTTTTAATCTCATGTGTTTTGCACTACCTTTTTTGGCCGTCGTCTAGGTTGACACGTCACGTGACTTCACGTGACGTGTCAACCAAGATGGCGGCCAATGAAAAAATAGTGGCAATCGTTATCAAAATTTACCAAGTGGACTACTTGCCCTGGGCGCGATCATCAGAGTTGGGGGAATGGGGGGGGGGGGGGGGGGGGGGCTAAGTAATTTTAAGTAAATTGCCTTGTTACTACTGGTCCGCCATGGGCAGCAATTTTAGGCTTCACCCTGGGCCCTGCTTTTCCTTGACCTAACCTAGGCATAGGGATCTGCGTTCAAGCTATTACAAGGGGATCAAAGGTCATAGGTTGGAGCTTGAATAACAAAACAAGACATAAAATGGAAGTTTTGGCTCAAAACTTAGACTAAGTTTTGGCTCAAAACTTAGACTTAACTTAAGTCTACAAAAGTTTTAAAAGTAAAGTGAAAAGTAAAATGTAACAATAATAGTAATGAAGTAAAGTTAAGTCAACTTATTACTATAACTAAGTATTAATATTACTTAATTAATTAAGCAACAAAAATTGCAATGCTCATTTGACTCATTTACTCATTTAAATATTAAAAGTAAAAGAGAGAGACATAGCGACTTAGGCGACTATGTACAGGAATATGAAGGTTACTGATTAGATATGACGACATTAATTATACTTTATAATTTAATAATTAAGCCTACCGAGATTTCAGGTAATTACTCGCGTGTATTACCCTTTTACAAGAAGTTTTTCTGAAAGGTACCATGAGCGCTGCCATGTTTGTATGGTAGGTTAAGCTACGCGAATTCAAAGTTATGAATAAATGTACGATGGAAAATAAGAAACTATTTTAATATAATTGCATTCAAAATATAAATTATACACCCTAAAATAAGTTTGTTAGACGATTAAATAACATGATAATTGTAATTTTCTTTTACTGTAAAAAATTAGCAATACGCTTCTAACGCTGGTGTTGGAAGATTCAATTGTGTTTGTTTTCTTTTAGTAGATGACGGTCATTGACAATCAGCTGATAAGAAATCATAACAAATTCAAAATATCTGCATCCCAGAAATGTTAAAAAGCTTTTTAAAAAAATAAATACCCTATACTTATTTCGTTTACTTTAAAGCATAATTATGCACAGGTTAGTGTCCTAGCAGTACTTAATGACATTATCATAATAATAATCTGGGTGAGGTTGGGTCCTATTTTGAAGCTACTCACTCAAATTCACCGGACTCACTGCTACTCCAGCTATTACTAACACTAAAATTACTTAATATTATTTATAACTGAGGTACTGGGTTTATTATACTTAGGTAATCCATACTTCAGCGTCGGTTATTAACAAAATTTGTTGCTCCTGTTTGAAGAGCTATTTAAACGGTTATTATTTTTATTGATGTCCCTTGTCCGATATAATATTATTATTGTTCGTCCGTCGAGGATCGACGAGGAACATCGAGTCATCTGGTGACTGATGACTTGCGCGGATGACTTTTTTTAAAGTGAAGAAGAGTTGCGCGGCGTCTACCTCACTCTCTCGTCCGAGCCCACCATATCCAGTGGCAAGACTCTACGTCAAGACGACCAGGGATGGGTTCGGTTGCAGGAATTGTCATTGTTTGCGCCTTACGGGACTCCAACTCCGGGTTTGAATTCAGAGTTTCCTTCTCTTAGATGAGTTGCTGACCAAGGTTAACGAGTCTCATCCACCCGAGGTGATGTTTTTTGCTTGACTGGCCTTTGGCTGGACTTGAACACCAGACCACCACCTTAATATTATTAAAACAGTGTGGAGGTGTCACTGGGTTTTCGTTGGCATAGAAAGAGAGAGTGGGCTGGGTGCTGTTTCATGTTTAAGTGTCAGACCGATGTGGATCATGTTACAGGAGTGCATAGAGAGAGATATATCCTCCTAGGCTCACTTATTGTATCAGAAGGATGGGTGGCTAACAAATATATTAACCAGATCAGACACAGAATCTATGAACTATGAACACTCTGTTCGTTGTACATTTTTTAAAAAAGTTCTATTTTAAAATTATTAAATTGTTACAATTTGTCTATTTTAAAAATGTTGTCTTTTATTTATGTGCTGAAATAAATATATACAATGTCAATGTCATAAAAAATTTCCATTTATTTAAATAAATAAAAACATTTTATGTTATCAACAAAACAAAAGCCATTTATATAGCACTTCAAACCAGAACCACATGATTTTTTCATTATCGACCCTCAAGTGATAGATTACTTACTTATACTTATTTATAAAGTGGCCAAGCCACCAAGGCCTGACTAAACAAATACAACTACTACTACTCTATTAGTAACGAAAATTGCAACTATGACTGTGCATGTTAACTCAATGTGAAGTCAAAGCTACTGTGCAAATGGCTTTGACTCAGCCATCTCAGTAATCAGTGTATGCTGCACATTTTTAGTGTTTGGAATTTATGGGCCCATCCTTAAATAAAGCATGTCACTATTGTCACACTATTTTTGGACAATTTTTACTCCTCCCTCTCCCATCATACTCTTTCACAACATCCCCCTTTCCCCATACCCCCCAAAAGTATGTCACACTATCAAACTAAAAATTTCTAAAATAATTAAAATTATTTCTAAAACACACTTCACTATTAAATTTATAAAATTGACATCTTCTGTCAGAATACATCCATCAAAACAGTGTACCCAGTGTTCAACATCACTGTCCATTTCAGGTTTTATATATGTAAGATTAAAAATTACAAATGAGTGATATTGCACAAGATCTTTACCCCCTCCCCCAATGCCCCCTTCCCCTCTGTCACCTACTGTCATACTTTCCTAGACCTCTTCCTGAGCATAATGTACTTAATGGCTGGCCCCTATGGACACAATTCTACCTATGTCTAAGTACACTTGTATGGACAATAGCATGAGTTGAGTTTATTAATTAAAAAAACCTTATATGTTTAGTTAAAGTGTTTACTAATATATTATAATCTTCTTAGAAGGTAGTCTGGACCACGTTTGTTTTTATTTTATTTTTTAAAATTAGTTTTTTCGGGGGAAGCTCTTTATTAATAAAGTCTTTGTTACATGTTTCTAACTAGTACATCATTTGTGGCCCAAAGATCCATTATTTAAATTTTTTGTGCTGGTCATTCAACACATATACCCACTTGTGCCTGAAGCTCTACGTATCCAGAAATTTGTTTGAAAGAAATTTTGTAGATGGAAAATTGATTGATGGAAATTCGATAGAACAGAAATTTGGTAGAATCTTTTTTTCAGTTCACGCATTAAAATTTTACGTCAAATTTTTTTTAAACGCATTATTTTGTTTTACTATATAGTATAGTGCGTTCAAAAAGAACAAGTGAACTAAAAAAAACGATTCGACAAAATTTCCGTTGGATCAAATTTCCGTCTATCAATTTTCCATCCACAAAATTTCTTTCAAACAAATTTCCGGATACGTAGATGTTGCCCCCTAGACTAAAGTCTATCTTGGAGCACTAAGTCAGCAAGTGTTCCATTGCTCAGAGGCTAGAATCTTATGGTCTATGCTTTTGCATCTCTAGATAGTGGGTATTCAACAGTACAAACCGAATTGTTATAGCCTGTGTGTTGACCTAGATCAAGCCGTGACAAGCAACCCTACCTCCTCTCTTGTATATGTTACTGACATCACCCATTAACTTGGTGACACATGCTGCCAATCCTTTCCCCCACCGCCCTTTATTGGAAAATTTTGTTAACGTTTCCAAAAGGGTCTACTTAAGGGGAGAAATACTTTCTGGCGATTGAATATCTAGACTTTCTGTTCTGGGGGGGTTCTGATTCCCTCGCTATATATACAACTTTTGACTGTGACCGGCAGACTTAGTTATGAGACTTATCAGACTTACAGGAGCCCTACAAGACTTACAAGATTTTTCACTGTGTGTATGTGTGGATTAATATTTGTACCTTTCTAGTGTTATACTTTTTTCCATTGTGTGTCATGAAAGTAAATATAGTTTTTATTTCTGTATATTTGATTCTGTATTTTTATATCAACTTAATAGTTTAATTAAATTGATTATTGTTAATATCACTAGCTTTGGCATTTATTTCCTTCGTATACTGATTTTCAGTCCTTTGTTATATATTGTTCCTCTAACAAGCCAAATTTTAAAACTATGGATTAAATTTGTTAAACCTTATAATGGTACAGAACAAAATGAATAAGAAATCTCCTGATGTCATAAGCCAATATTGGCAATTGGCAGACCTAGAAATTAGCCAGTAATTAGATTAAACAGTATAATTCAGCTCATAAAAATAATATTTTAGTTATTTGTTTGCATATCTTTGCCATTTTGATTTTTTATAATTATAGTTATTATTTTTGTTTAAAATTCACCTGACTTAATCATTAATGAACACAACAATTGAGTAGCAAGTACAATAGAGTCTTATAGACCTATTCTAGTAATAATTTTAATTAAAATCACTGTTTGGTACAGCTCTGCTGTACATTACAAATTAGTGTCAATGCCAAGAATTGCTAATGCATCCTGGCAGCAAGAGTTTTGAGGTTGGAATTTTTCATTGTGATTGACACCCTCATCTTGAATCGAGATTATCATAGAAAAACTAATTCAGATAACTACTTTGAAAGGCTAGAACAAATATTTGCATATATTTCATTTAGTCATTAGTAAGGGAATAATTGGTTACTGATGTGTGTGTGCGTTGAATTTAATAACTTCAGGCAAAAGACTGGCACTTACATATTTGTTTTTTAATTAATTTTTCAGATTCTTAAAAAGCACTTAATTATAAATTTGTAAATAAAAAGTACATTTATGCTGGACATAATCACTGGAAAAATGGATAAGACCAGAGAAACCAACTATTTGGCAGAATTAGGTTCTGAACCACAGGTACGTTGGTTTCAAAATTTTCTCCATTGTTTCTTAACTCTATTTATTTTTTTAGACACCAGTTTTCATGTCTTCATGGAATACATATAACTAAGCATTTTTAGCAGGATTTATGTTTGCCCATACAAAATTTTCTTTTCAAAATTGGACAAAGCAATAAGCATTTATTTCTGTGCAATCAAAGGCTTCATTTTTCATATAATAATGAAAAATATTAGAAAAATATAACAATTTTAATCTTTAGGACATGGTAGAAAATGTCATTATTTAACACTTGTAGCTTTTCATTTAGTTACAACTTAATGACTTTGCATTTATTTGTATACCGGTATATTTATGTGGGGGATTTTATGGGTTAAATCAGTCCTAGTCTTTCTCAAAGGTTTGTATATGCTGTACATTAGAATAGAATTATGACATTGTTTTTCTACAGAAAAATTGTGGACAAAAATCTTGAATACATAATTGGCTCTGTTCTACAGGGCAATCAGATATCATATTATGGTAGACTCAATGGTATCACAGTTGCATGGAGGAAATATTTTTAAGCGTGCCCAATACTATTTTATTTTTATTTTTTTTTGCATTGTTGAGATCCTTATCCTTGAGGTAAAATTAACAGGATTATCTAAATTTGAAAAATCATTTAACTTCTTGACCAATACTTGTTAAACTTTTTTTGGCACTCATCTATAGTGTATTCTTGGTGGAAATATCACAATCAAATTTATGGAAATGTCTCTAGCAAAACTACTAAGCCCATGCAAGGTCTTTTGAGGAGAATCAATTGTTGGCCATGCAGCCGACCCAACAGCAAGTTTGTAGTTTGACTTTTCCTTCTCTCCAGAGTCCTATACTTTCTAGTATGTAAGTGTATCATGTCCTG